CCAGAGCCTAAGCATGACACCCCTGTCCCGGCCCCGGAGCCGCAGCATGAGGAGCCCAAGCCGGAGGAACCCAAGGCAGAGCCCCATGTGGACGAAACTCCTAAGCAGTCCGAGCCCACGTCATCTTCGTCGTGCGCACCCACTGTTCAGGAGATCGTTCGCACGCTGACACACACTTTGCCCGACGAGCCCACAGTTGTCCCTAAGGTTGACGCTGTGGCCACTGAAGCTCCTGCACCTACTCAGTCCGCACCGGGCCCAAGTGAGCCTACCAAGCCTACGGCGCAGTCTAACCCCACTCAAGAGGTCGCATCCCCAACCAGCCCCTTTAGTCCCAACCTTGATGAAGCTCATCACGTTCCTGGCTCTGAGCCATCCGCCACCGACGTCGTGCAGAGTGCGATGACGACTGCCGCCCCTGCCCCCACGGAGCCGGTTGTCATGGACAAGGTCGCGTCCAGCATCACGATTCAGCAAGATTCGACTTTCCACGTGATTCCCGTGTACGTGCCAGTGTCGTCTGCCACCACTCCCTCGTCGCACGCTGTTCCGACGGCGGTTACGAGCGTTGCTGGCCCCCACTCGACGGGCGTCGACGCCTACCAACCCACTCTCCGCTACAACCTACCCCCGGCTGCGCCGTCTGCCTCATCAAGCGGCCTTCTGTTCACCGGGGCTGGAGCACCTCAGGCCGCACCTTACGCTGGCGTCTTTTCGGTCTTGTCTGGTCTTGTGGCTCTCCTGGCTTTGATCCTGTAGGGTCAGCCACGCCATTCTTTTAAAACTGTCTCTATTTCACGCTTCCCACTGAATATGTTCACCGAAAGTTCTGTCATCGTTGTATCACATACTCGATACCACTCACTCATTTAGTACAAAGGGAGGGGCATCCCGGTTGTTCTGATGTATTTTATTCCTACTGTTTTCCATTCGTTAGACTTCAACAGGTTTCATTTTTTTTCTTAGATCTTATCGCAGTAGTGGTGTAGTTCACTGTTGTCTGACTCGACTATGTATTCACGGACAAGACCATCCCCACACGCCTAGTCCCCATCCATCCAAGTGTCAACCTCTATCCAATCACTGTGCTCCTACCAGTTATGACTCAATTTAGGGAACTGTTCTGGCTCCAACCCACGCCTTAGCAAGTCGATTCCACGCTTATTACTCACCCCCATACACCATTGTATGCACGTAGACTCTTTAGTATAAGACTGTGCCTCTCTACTACTCTGCACTCTTTCTCAAAACAACAACAATAACGACAACCATCCAGAAGACCCCCAAAATGCAACCCAGATACACAATCCGCCCCGCCATCCCCCAGGACGCCCCGCACCTCGCGCACATCAACATCACCGCCTTCGAACCGACCCCCTTCTGGCGCAACCTCTTCCCCAACCTCGACCGCACCGCCACCTACCCGCTCAAACTCGCCCGCGCGCTCACCAAGCTCGTCGACGGGGAATCGCACGTCCTCGTCGCCGAGGACCCGGCCACCAGCGAGGTCGTCGGCTACGCGCGCTGGACCGTGCCGGGGCCGGGGCCTTTCGCCCCCCCAAGTATAGGGGACTTATCCCCCGAGCACGCACACCTCGTCACCACCTTCCGCCGGGACGGAGACGCCGCCCTCCCCCCGGGCATTAATCTAGCCGTCCACCGCCGCTTCTGGGGGGAATTGGACCGGTTGAAGGAGAAGTATCTGCGGGAGGGGGATTTTGGTGCGTTCGCTTTCCCTCTTCCCCCCACACCCTTCCCCCCCCCCCCTTCCCTTTGACGGTACGCCGGGATACCGCTGGGCGATATCCTCCCTAAACTAACGAACGGTGGTTGGGGCAGTCCTCGAATTCCTCGCCACGCTCCCCGAAGCGCAAGGCCAAGGCGTGGCGTCGGCCCTGCTGCGGTGGGGGTTGGCGCAGGCGGACGCGCGCAACGCCCGCGTGTACCTCGAGGCCACGGCGGAAGGGTACCCCATTTACCGGAAGTATGGGTGGCGGGATCTCGAGGCGTTGGAGCTGGATTTCGCGGCGCTGGGCGGGCGCGAGGAGCGGCAGCGGTGGGTGGTGATGATGCGTGAGAGGGGGGAGCCACTTGGAGGAGTGGGGGCGGAGGTGAAGAATTGACGGTGTAAAAGGTAGTGGGGGTGGAGGTTGGGTTCGAGGTTGTATATAGGCTTGTTGACCTCGTGTTTGAGGGCATGGGTGGGGCGGGGGGTGTGTTCTGCCACCCCCCCGGGGCCTTGGCGGTTGTCCCGCCAAGAGGCGTAGGGCCAGTGCTTACTTGAGTGAGTCATACGTTATATAGATATCTTGGAGAGAGAGCAAACTTATAATTCATTCTCGCTGCTTAGATACGTTCAAGATACTGTTGCAAGATCTGTCTACTTCTTTCTCTCGCCAACCCACCGTCCCTCCCTCCTCCCCACCCCCCACTCCCCACCCAACCCTCACCTCATCTCTCGACCAAACCATACACACCATGTCGAAGCAGTGCTACGCCACAACCTCCCCCTTCGAGGCCCTCATCGGCTACTACCGTGCCGTCCGCCACGGCCAACACATCTTCGTCTCCGGCACAACCGCCGTCGACCCCACCCAAAGCATCCCGCAGATTCTCTTCCCGGGCGACGCAAAGCAACAAACCCGCGTGGCGCTGGAAGAATGCATCAAAGCCGTCAAGGCCATGGGCGGACGCGGGCCCGAAGACATCGTGCGCGTGAAGATGTTCGTCAGTCGGCATGAGGACTGTCAGGCTGTTGGAGAGGGGTTCAAGGAGGTCCTGGGCAAGGAGAATGCTAGCGGGAGCGACACTCCGATTGGTGCGGCCGCGACCATGATTGTGGTGCACAACGGATTCATCGACCCCAACATGCTGGTCGAGATCGAGGTGGATGCTATTGCGGCGGAGTAGTTGGTGTAATTGGAGGGCTGTATTGGATGCATAGCGCGTCTGTCGTGCAAGGCTGCGGAAAGCCAGGGATCGTTGTATCGTCATGGAAGTGTATATACAAGCCGAACAGGCTGTGGCGGAACGTCCGGGATCATTGTATCATCATTAGAAATTTATGTATGCTAAGAAGACTCAAATCGAAACACTGGGCGAATTTGAACAGAACCCTTGCGACTGTCGTTGTATCGTGCGCCTCATGACATGTACCGGCGCCGGCCGTTGGGTGAAAAGCTCATACTGAGCGACGCCCTGTTCCAGCAGAACCACCAAGCCATCGACGACGACCCATCCTTTCGAGGCCCTGTCCTTCATCGATGCCCGTAGCACCGTTTGGTGTTTCCCGTACGCAACCTGCTCTGCATTAGTTTGCATTTACAAGGAGGCAAGAACAACTCACATCCACAAAGACTCCGCCCGTGCTACTCGCGAGCCACTGCTCAGGTAACCGCAGAGTCACGGGCGATTGGCTATTAATCTCGAGAGCCGGTAAGCAAGACACAATGATGGTAGGCTGTCGTAGATGTCGGGGCCAAGGCTCATTCGCTGAACACAGGACCTCGATACGAAGGCGAGCAGCGGACTCCGACGATGCAGCCCAGTCACGATAATACTCCGCAAGCCTCTCTGCGTTAGAGGTGGTCCTGTTGTAAAGGCAGATGTGCTGCACGCCCAGCTGCAAGCAAGCATAGATCGCAGCACGGGCCATGCCGCCGGCTCCAATAATCAAGGCCGATGTACCGGCACGAATGGCGTTGGCTGGTGACAGGTTCTTGTCGATTCCGGCCATGATACCGATGTAGTCTGTATTGTATCCTTTAAGCTTTCTGGTGATCTGTCCAGTCTCCGAGATGCTCTGCTCCAAGATTACGGTATTGACCGCGTGAATATCTCTTGCCTCACGGCCGATTTTGTCCAAATAAGGAAGGATTTGGGTTTTGTACGGTAGTGAGACCGCGACACCACCATGGTTGGCATCGTTGAGAAGATCAATAACCTCCTCGAAGACGCCAGACTGCATGCTACCATACTGATGCGGCAGTCCACAGGCGGCATAGGCGGCATTATGCATTGCTGGAGAAAGGCTCTGCGCCACGTTTTGGCCAAATATCGTGAAGAGCTTTCTAGGGCTCAAGTAACAAGCTGTGAGAGCCTGTTCGGCGGCCTGCAGCGGAATCCCCTCGCTTTGCATGTGAGGGAGTACCACTGGCGATAGAACAGGGTTCAAGCAAACACTCGCCCTGCCCAAATCTCCCTTGTGGTAGGCAACTATCGGAATTTTAGCCTTGTCGGCCAGACTCTGACGTAGTGCGATACAAGCCAGATTATCAGTTTCAACTCTTGACTCTCCGGTGAGGCGTAGAACGTCGAAGCCAATGTCTTCAGCTTTCTTGAGTCCCGAAGAAAGATCTACTGACCTCTGCAAGGACAGTGGGCCCGGTATGTGATAGGTAGCAATTGCCTTGACGTGACCCTTTGTGTCGATAATCGTTCGCAGATGTTCTGGAGAACTGCTAAGAGAGCATGCGAGAGCATCCGGTACTAGTCTAAGAAGCTGTTTCAAGAACTTGTGATACTCCACAGGCTCAAATTGATGTGCATCCGCAATCTCCACAAAGACCGGAACCCTTGCATACATTCTGACAGTAGCCATATGCTTTGCTAAGCTCTCAGCTAGCTCCGTGGTTCTGTGTCTGGGATAAACGTCGATTAAGATGGTTAAAGCATCTGCCCCACAGTCCAGCTGTGCATAGTCGAGATTGGATTCCTCTAGCCAGCTAACAGGAATCTGCAAAGCATGTGTATAACGCTCGATGAAAGGGTTGGCTGAGTACACACTGCAGGTAGCTCGACCGTAGATGCGTTCGAGGAAGGCTATAAACACTCTTCCGGCCTTTCTAAGTCGCATGTGAACAGCCTCTGATCTGCCATCCCCACCTGTCGTATTTTGGGTCAGATTGTAGAAATCAAAATTGGAGCAGGCCTCGAAAAATGCGTTTCCAACTGCAAAAAGACGATGGAACTTGTCTTGATTGATCTTGATAGTTCGTTGCAGATCCGACCGATCTCTTCTGACATACAAGACAGGATGCTCCTGGGCAAACGTGCTCAACAGCTCCTGCTGTTGGCGCGTGGCCAGCCATCCCAGACCCACAATCACACAGCCGACACGATGTTGTTCCAGGAGTCGTTGAGTCAGCTGCAATTCTAGTTCTCGATAAAGCGTGGACCCATGCTGTGCGATGTACTCCTGAGGCGAAAGCTGTGTTTCTTGACGGAACAAGGTATCAAAGTCAATCAAGCGACGGCGGAGTGCGACAGAGGCGATGATGCCCAGCGTCTTCTTGCCCGCCCCGACAAATCCGACCAGTATGAGGGTGGCATCGGGACTGTACCGTCTGGTGGTCACACTCCCGGGATGTGGCGGGGAGCATGAAGGAGAAATCCCCGGTGCCATCATTGACTAGGAGCGTGCGTGAAGATACCAAGGCATTGAATCTTAGCAGTTGGCCAAGCAGATGGTATATCGTGATCGTAACCTGTCTGCAAGTGAAGTTGGAATTACCGGAATTTGCCATCGCTTAAAGTCCTAACCGATCACATGACGTCCCGGGGTCTCGAACCAGACGAGAGACGTCTGCGTGCACAACGCAGTCTATCAAGTCCATGCATTGCAGTCTATAGGTTTCTATGTCATGCCAAATCCCAGACTGTCGAAGAGAAAGCGCATTGGCCGTGCGTGTGACCAATGTCGGCGTCGGAAGTCCAAGTGCGGCGGCGAGCAGCCCGTGTGCTCCATCTGTCAGGCGGCAAACCGGACTTGCACGTATCAAAATAGCAGTCGACGGAGAGGACTGCAGTCGGGATATGTGAGGAGCTTGGAGGTCGCGCTCGGGATTGTTCTCGACCGGGTCCCTAACAGCGAGAGCACGCTGCAGTGCATCGTCCGAGGTGCTCGGGAGGGGAAGCGTTTCGCTTGCAGTGAGTTGGCCGACCGTTGGCGGAGGTCAAAGCTCGCCAAAGAGGTTCTTCACTTGACTCAAGCCGTGGCTGGAGATGATGCAGGGGAAATAGATTTAGATGATGGACTGGGAGAGGATTTTGTGGATGGTTGTGTGGCTGAAGGAGAAGAAGGAGAGCAGATGGAGATGGAAAGGGAAGTTCCCAGAGACAGCGGGAGAGAACAACAACAGCGGCAAGACACTCCACCACAACACACCTCGGTATCACTGGATCTGCCATTTCCAGATAACACGCCTGAGTTGGTGGATTTCTACTTCCTTCACACCCATTGCTGGTTTCCGATAGTCGAACGCAGAGACATCCTGCGCGCCATGCATACCCATGCAGACTCACCCAGAGACTCTGCGTGTCGTCTCGTGCTCTGGGCGATCATTGCCTACACATCTACTATGATAAATTCTTCGTCTTGCCCGACCCGACTGATTCGCTCGAAAACACATCAGTCGATTCAAACGCGACTCATCAGCAGCTACGAGAAGACAGAACTGAGCCACATCCAAGCCCTCCTCATCCTCGTCCTCCTACATCTTGAACTGGGAGATCTCGGTCACGCATGGGTGCTAGTCGGACACACGACTCGATTACTAGCCATCTTGCCCGAGCCAGCGCGGACTTACCGGTGCAAACATGCTTTCGTTGGCTGTACCTTTCTGGACGGGATCATATCGGCTCTGGTCCACAAATCACCATCCCTGCTCGGTCCAGAACACCAGGCTTATGCGCAGGTTGAAGAGGATGATGTGGATGAGTGGGACACTTGGACCATTACGCGACGAGACCAGGGTTCAGAAACGCGATTCAATTCGAAGAGCCCTCTTCGTGCTCTAAGCACATTCAACATGATCCATAAGTTCATGCGCATTCTCAATCGCCTGTTGCTGTGCACCTCGGGCGTCGTCTCTGCACAGGAGGTCTTCGTGGACTTGCAACGCTTGGAGAAGCAAATATCCGAGCAACGCCCATACAAGGGCTTGGAATACGCTACGCCCCCTCTACTGATTCTTCATCTCACTTCGGCTTTCGCCATTCTACACGTGATCGAGCAGTGCAAGCTGATGGATGCTTCCGCAGTCTCGGAGAGAGCTCAGAACTTGCGCACGATGGTCAATCTGCTCGATGACTACGTGGAGATCACTAGCAATGTCAGCTCAACTCCGCTGCTTCGTTGCTTCACATTCCAGGCCAGAAAGTCTCTAGAGACTTCATCCCAATGTTTCGGAAGTGAAGAAGCGGAACGTCTGAGGGACCGAGTTTCTCGTCATGTGCACATGCTGAAGCTTGAAGATGCAGGCGGCCGCCGCGATTCTAACGTACCACTATTCCGACATCCAGGAACAAGTACCTCATTTGATCTTACACTCGAAACCCCCGCCTGGCATGTGCCAGGCTCAGAAGTAGGACGTAGCGATATGGTGGTTGCACGAGTCATACCCCAGATCCCGACGTCCGCTTGGAGTGTTTCTGGGGCGTTGGCAACCCAACCAGTGCAAACACAGGAAACAGAAGACTTTCATGCATTGTTCGAGGAGATCATGACGTCGATTCCAGCCAGCAGGTATGTGTCCTGTGTTGACATCACGTTATATCTACTAATAACTACTAATGACCCTGTGTAGACATGAACCCACATTCGCGGAAAACTTGGGCTTCTATGCGGGCAACATGGACACAGACTTCCTCGAGCAGCTCCAGTATATCCCTGAGGATACATGACTGGCAGAGTGACTGGCAGAGAGCAGTCATACACTTGGGGACATTGATTCCTAGGTGTCGCTATATTCATATTTACAACTCATGAGCCATATCACAAAGACGACACAAGCTCTGTGCAAAACCATCACTCCCAACTCATCTCCTTCCCATCCAGCCACTCCTTGGCCTGCCAATACAACAAGTCATGCTTCCGTCCGTTTACACTGTCCCCTTCCCTGCGATGCCCCGGCAGATCGAGCAGCACCGTGACTCCCATGGTCTGCTCCTGCAGATACGCCAGGTGACGATAACCCGGCGGATACGCGCGCAGCCGCTCGTGATCCAGCACCGGAACGCGATCCGGCGTCACGGGAATCAGTTTATCCTTCTCGTACCAGTGCCGGACAAAGACCGCGCGCCACTGGCCACCTAGTTCCGGGCGATCGGGGTCGTCGGCCTGCACCTTCTGCCAGAAGAAGATAAAGCGGCAGTCGCTCTCGGCGTCGGCCTCGCACACGCCGCCGGCGTGGCAGGGCAGCTCGGCGAAGCGCTGCGTGATGGTCGCCTTCATCTTGGTGACGGCGCGGGTGGCCGTGGGGTCGATGTCGGTGGTGCTGCCGTGGATGCGGTGCATGATGAACGCGCCTCGGTCCATGCCGGCCTGCGAGGCCTCGATGAAGGCCCGGTGGTGGGTCAGCCCCGTCCACGTCGTGTAGATGTGGGCGTCCGGGTGAAAAATGGAGCGCAGGTTCTCCCACTCGCAGGCGTCGCGGTAGCAGGGCCAGCCCTCGGCGAGTTCGCGGAGCATGTATCGCTCCAGGGCGAGGTCGCGGGGGCCGTTGTTGCGGATGGCGTGTTGAGGGCGCGAACCGGCGGGGAGGGAGTGTAGGTCAGGCATTGTGTGTGTTACAAGAAGTGTCTCAATGCAATGAATTCTGGGGCTTGTACAGCATGAAGAAAGTGCGGGGAAAGCCGCGGGGTGCAGGAGACGTTTTAAGGTTCGGAGATCCATGCCGTCGCTAGCCATCGGGAGAGATCCTGCCCGTGTGCGGGTATACTCATCCCCGAGACGAGAGCCATTTAAGCCTGCCACTCAACGATACATACCATCCAACGAAAACCCCAACCAGATTACTACCATCAATCTTTACCTTCTATATTTCCGGTCATCATCTCCATCACATCAAAAATGAACCCTCCTCAACCCGCACCCAGCAAATTCTCCTACCTTGTGGGCATAGGCGTGACCCACTCTATCGCGCCGCCCATGCACAACCACATCTTTCGTTCCCTCGGCCACGCCGACTGGCACTTCCAGGCCCAAGAGTGCGCCACCGTGGAGGAAGCGATGACGCTATTCCGGGCGCCGACCTTCAGCGGCGGCGCCGTGGTCACCATGCCCTACAAGCGGACGATCATGGCGCACCTGGACGGGCTGGACGAGCCTGCCGGGAAGCTCGGCGCGTGCAACAACGTCTACCGCACCGCGGACGGTGCCCTGCGCGGCACCAACACCGATTGGCGTGGGGTGCTCGGGTGCCTGGTGGGCGCCAGCGCGTCGGGGAGGGGCAAGCCTGCGGCGATCATCGGGGCCGGCGGCGCCTCTCGCGCGGCGGTGTATGCTCTGCACGCGGAGCTGGGCTGTTCCACGATCTACATCGTCAACCGGGACGAGGGCGAGGTGCAGGAGCTGGCCGACGAGTGTCAGAGGGTGTACGGTGGGGGACTGACGCTCGTGCACGTGAGGCAGGTAAAGCAGGTGGCTGCGCTGCCGGAGCGGCCGTTCTACGTGGTTGGCACGGTGCCGGACGCGGAGCCGACCACGTCCGAGGAAGTCGAGGTGCATGCGATTGTGAAGGCGTTCCTCGCTGCCCCCGGCCAAAGCAACGAGAAAGGCGTGCTGCTGGACATGTGCTTCAAGCCGCGGCGGACACGGTTCCTGAAGGCGGCGGAACGGCACGGGTGGACGACGGTGGAGGGGACGGAGATCATCGGCCATCAGATCCAGGAGCAGTACCGGCTGTGGTGCGGGGAGGAGGCGAGCAGGAGTTTGCCGGTGGAGGAGGCGTGGGCGGTGTTGCGGCGGGCGGCGGAGGAGAGCCCGGCTATCAATTTTTAGAGACCGATCGGTTGTGGATATAGCCGATGGTGGCTGGGATAGGCAGTCGTCGACGTATATAGTCTCGTCTCCAAGTATTCAACCATTTCTGCATAACATTGGCCGCAGTAATCACGCCAACTTACCATTTCCATCACCAGTACCATCCCAATCAACATAACATCACCATCCGCATCACCACCATGCCCTGCACCCCCGCCATCGCCACTATGTCCGTCGGCCGGGCCTGGGTACACACCCTCCCCGCAAAACTCACCCAAATCGCCGCCGCCGGCTTCAAAGGGGTCGAGCTCTTCTACGAGGACCTCGAATACCTCGCGCGCGAGCACAGCCCCAGCCCCAGCGCCCCGGGCGCCGAAATCCACGAACCGGCCCTCCTCGCCGCGGCGCAGACCACCAAACAGCTCTGCGACACCCTCGACCTCCAAATCATCAGCCTCCAGCCCTTCCTCTTCTACGAAGGGCTCGTCGACCGCGCCGCGCACGCCCAGCGCCTCACCAAGCTGCGCACGTGGTTCCGACTCGCCCGCACCCTGGGCACCGACCTCATCCAGATCCCGTCCAACTTCCTCCTCCCGGCCACCGAAACGACCGGCGATTGGGACGTCATCGTCGCCGACATGCGCGAAATCGCCGAGCTGGGCCGCCAGGAACGCCCCGTGATCCGCTTCGCGTACGAGAACCTCGCGTGGGGCACTTATGTGTCCACCTGGGAGACGCTGTGGGATGTGGTGCAGCGCGTCAACCGCCCGAATTTCGGGGCTTGTTTGGATACCTTCAACATCGCGGGGCGGGTGTGGGCGGATCCGGCGGCGGTCTCCGGCCGGGTGGCGGGGGATGCGGATGGGTTGTTGAGGGAGTCGTTGGCACGGCTGGTGCGGACGGTCGATGTACGGAAGGTGTTTTATGTGCAGGTGGTCGATGCGGAGCGGTTGGCGGCGCCGCTGGGCGAGGGCCATCCGTTCTATGTGGAGGGCCAGCCGGCGCGCATGAGCTGGAGTCGCAATGCGCGGTTGTTTCTGTATGAGCACGAGAAGGGCGGGTATTTGCCGGTGGTGGAGGTGGCCAGGGCGTTTTTGAACGACCTGAAATTCGAGGGGTGGGTGTCGATGGAGCTGTTCTCACGGTCCTTGGCCGAGGCGGATCCTGCGGTGCCGCGCGAGCATGCGCGGAGGGGGATGAGGGCGTGGGAGTTGTTGCGGGCAGAGTTAGCGTTGTAGGGTTGTAGGGTTGTTTTGGTGTGGACAGTCAGTGCAGGTTTAGAGTAATACGTTTCTGGCTTCTATTTTCTATTTGCTCTGGGAAGGTGTGCACTGATCTCGATACGCACTACTCTATACCCGCTCCGCAATACTCCCCCGCATCACCTCCACAGGCGGCTTCCTCCCCGTCCACAGGGCATACTGCACGAACCCCTGCCGCAACAACACCTCCAACCCATCCTGCACCTGCCACCCCGCCTGCCGCGCCGCGCGCATCAACCCCGTCACCCGGGGCTTGTACGCCATCTCCACCACCAACCCATCCTCTGATCCAGCGAACAGCCCCTCCACCTCCGTCTCCGCGACTACAGCCCCCGGCACCGTCCCGATCACGACCTCAGGCTTCACCTCTCCCACCGCAGGAACCGGATACTTCACAGCCACGATCTCGCAGTCCGACCCATTCGGCCCCGCCAATCCCTCGAAATCCCGAACAATCGTCTCCGCCTTCTCGACCGTCCGGTTCGCAATCACAATCCGGGCGAAGTTCGCCTGCAGGAGCGCGTAGACTGCGGCGCGGGCGGCACCGCCGGCACCGAGGACGAGGCCTGTCTGTCCGGCGGTTGGGCCTCCGGCTTGGACTTCTTCGCGACTGCTGGGATAGCCCCGGCTCGCTGAAAACTCCTCCACGAGCTCGTACAGACCCCGCCAGTCGGTATTGTCGCCGGTGAGGACGCGTTGTCCGCCCCGCGTCTCCGCAATGAGGGTGTTGATCGCCCCGATCTGTCGCGCGGCGTTGCTGACCTCGTCGCACAGCGGGAAGGCGGTCAGCTTGTGCGGCATGGTGACGCTGGCGCCGCCGAAGGTGGGGGCATCAATAAGATGTTGGACGGCGGCGAGGGAGGGGCATTCTTGGATGGTGTAGTGGTGGGGGAGGCGGTGGTGGGCGAAGGCGGCGTTGTGGAGGGTCGGGGAGAGGCTGGTGGTGAGGGTTTGGCCGAAGATGTGGTAGGTTTGGGGGGTGATCATTTTCGGGGGCATCAATAGCAAGCAAGTGAGATAGATGAGTAAGGAGGATAGCGCTGAAGTGCGAAGCTGTTGGGTGGTGTATGTGATGTGGTGTGGTGTGGTGATGTAGATGGGAAAGATTTATAGTACAGGACGGGTAAAGTAGATAGCCGGGCGGGGATGATATGGAGGATCTGGAAGTATGCGTATACTCACCACTCGACGCAGAACCACCGCACCAACCTAGCTCAACATCCCACCTTCCACGCAAGCTATCCCCTCCTCCACAACCCTCCTCCACTGCTCAGCTCTCTCCCCGGCCTGCCCGCGGGGAACAACCTCGATAATCGCGCGCAAGTGATTCACGACCCTCTGCACCTCCTCCTGCAACGGACACCGCCACTTCATCTCCGCCAACACCCACTCCGCCCCCATCTCCCGACCCAACACCTCCTCAAACACGGCCTCCAACCGATTCCGCTCCGCCTTATCCTCCTCCCCGTCCCTCGCATTCCACAGAAACGCCCTCACCGGATTCCACCGCGGCGCCGCCACCACCCCGCTAAACTCCCAATCCAGCACCGCGGTAATCGGACAGCCCGGCCGCGTCGGATCGCACATGATATTCGCGCAGTGGAGGTCCTTGTGCGCAAGCACATACGGGACATCGTTCAGCCGGGCCGCGCCCTCGGGCCGCTGCACCGCTTCCCTGAAGGCGCGGATGCGCGGGACCAGGTCCCGGTAGGGCTGGAGGGCGGGGTGGATGACGATGGCGTGGAGGTACCGGTCCAGACATCCGACGGTGAACGCCACGTAGTCCGGGAATCCGGCGGGCGGGATGGGGTTGAGGGTCTCCAGACTGATTGTCCCGTCCGCGGTTTCTGTTTCAGAGACAATGGATGGAGACCAGTATTTCTCCAGGTCGGGCTTCTGCCAGTAGGTTTCGTCGATGGGCGGGCCCCGCGCGACGTCGCCGGACGGAGAGAGGGTAAGACCCCCCACGTATCCGTCTGTCCATGGGTGGGTGTGCAGTTCGATCAGGTACGCGGCGAGCTGCCGGACGAGTTGGGTCTTGGTTGACTCCGATAAACTGGGGTAGATCGTGTCGAGGCTGACGCCGGGGGCTTGTTCGAGGAGCGTGAATTCGTGGCCGATCGGGTTGGTCTCGGTGGCGTCGTAGTGGATGATGGCGGGCGTGGGGATGGAGGTGTGTGTCCGGACCCAGGTCATGACGCCTACTTCGTTGAGGGTCTTGATGCGCGGCAGTTGGCGCCCGGAGACGCGGAGGACGAGCGTCGTGCTGCCGTCGGGGTTGGGGCGGGCGGGGATATTTGTGGGGGGTGATGCGGCGAAGGTGATGAGGTAGATGGAGTGGAAGGCGGCTCTTACTTCGAGGGGGGTGATGCTGATGGGGGTGGGGAGAGAGAGGGAGAGGATTAATGCGGTGATGCTCTCCGCGCTCAGCGCCGGGGGAAGGTAGCTGGCGGTGCTCATTTCCGAATATGTACTTGACGAAGGAATGATGGAGAAGTTGTGCGTGTGCTTGATGAAGTATCGATGATGGAGACGTTGTGTTTGTGTTTGAGAACGAGATACTGATAGAGATCGAAGTGAACAGTGGCAAGGTGTGATATTTATCGTCGTCAGATGAGGCTAAATTCAGTGATTATCCAGTACGTCTCTCATAGTCTCGTTGGCTGACATGGAAGCAATTGACTAGCCAGCCTAGTCTGGCTGCGATATTGCATCGTCTGTCAGGTGCGTACCATTGGCCAAGCCTTGGAACTAAAGCAGTAAGCTTACGCTAAGCAGTCCCATCTATACTCAGGCTGGTTAAAAGCATATGGCTCATATTGACTCATGCGTTATCATCTCATCGACCCATTCTTATCAGCGGTCATCTTCCAATGCCGCTGTCGGTCCGATCCGCAGGGCTCGACCGTTCACGTGCTGTTTACTGGTTGACAGGCAAGATCTGCTCATGGGCTCTATTGAGGTTTCAACGCCTTAAGTTTCGATTAATTGAGGCTAGCTTTCCTCTGGAATATAATCAAATAGAGCTGGACTCACAGACATTTTCTTGGCAGCCAACGGAGTACCTAGGGCGACAGCGCTCACGCCCTAGTCGTGGCCAACCAGACCCAACGACCAAAATAACCACAACAATCCATCTTCATCGAGTGGAGAAGCGCTCGCCATGAAACTACAATAGGAGGCTACACCTGATGTAATTGATTGGCCCAACAAGAATAACCTCAAGCTCAACCCCACCCCAGCGCCAAGCTCAGCGCTTATACTTCAGCCTCATGACCCACCAGCCCTTCTCTATCATTAATATAAGTATAAGAATGATCTCCGACCAGCACTTGATAGAAATGATTATAGCCCTCAAATATATTATGTTTACATGTAGAAGTACATACAATCCAATGTCCAACGAAGAATCCACCAAGCCCCTCCGCCTCCTCTCTCTCGGTAAGCCCGCCCAACCCCACCCGAACTTCCACCCCCAAACCCCTCAGCTAACATCTATCCCAACCACAAAAAGACGGCGGCGGCGTCCGCGGCCTTAGCTCCCTCTACATTCTCCAGCAACTGATGCTCGACCTGCAACACCAATCCGCCCTCCCCACCACCCCAAAACCCTGCGACATCTTCGACATGATCGCGGGCACCAGTACCGGCGGACTGATCGCCATCCTCCTGGGCCGACTGCGGCTCTCGGTGCAAGACGCCATCGACGAGTACATGGCCCTGTCGGAGGTGATCTTCGGGTCCGAGGCGCGGAAGTGGCCGTGGCAGGATGGGCGGTTCAAGGCGACGAGACTTGAAGCTGCGGTTGCGGAGTTGGTGGGGCGGTATACTCCTACTTTTACTGTCTGTCAAGATGGGAAGGATGGAGATGAGGCCCGGGCTGAAGGTGGTGGCGATGATGAGGGGATCGCGCTGGGGGCGGAAGTGTTGCTGGAGGAACGCGGTGGTGGGTGTAAAGTGTAAGTTGTAACTCTGGTTCTGTCCAAAGTCCTTAGTCTCGGGGTGCTACTCGAGAGTGAGGCGGCTAACGCCAAGGGATAGTTTTGTATGTGCGAAGAACACCACCGACATCACCGGCCCACCGTACCTCTTCCGCTCTTACGACGAGAGTGCATCGTCGTCATCATCAACGTCATCATCATTCAACTCAGCCAACTCACCGGACCTTCCCCTCCCGATAGGAATCACCATCTGCGAAGCGGCGCGCGCCACCTCCGCCGCACCGATCTTCTTCCAGCGGAAGACCATCAACCGGAATAACTACGCAGCAGAGTTCGTGGACGGCGCGCTCGGGGCGAACAACCCCACTCGGGTGATGCTGCGCGAAGCGAAGAGAGTGTTCCCGCCGGAGCGGATCGTGGACTGCGTGGTGAGCATCGGGACGGGCAAGAAGTCCATCAGCCCCGTGACGGAGGCCGGGTGGCTGCAGCGATGGGTGGCGCCCTCCCTGCCTCTCAACACGATCCGCGCGCAGAAGGACCTGGCGACGAGTTGCGAGGCGGTGGCGGACGAGCTGGAGCGCCAGTTCGACAGGTACCGTCCCGGGGTCTATTTCCGGTTCAATGTTGAGCAGGGCGTGGCGGATGTGCGATTGGATGACTACAAAAGGCTGGGGCAGCTCAAGGCGCGGACTATTGGCTATTTGGCGGAGTTTGGGGTCCAGGTTAAGATGAGGAAGACTGCTGAAGCTTTACGAGGCGGTCTGGAGGAGGGGGCGGAGGGGGACGGAGACGAGGGTAATGGAAAGTGTAGGGTGTCTGATTTATGATGGTGGTTGCTCAAATGCAATGCTAGCTAGCAAGAAACTTCAAGTTGAGTCATCCTCCCGAACTAAGAAAACAATCGCAGCACGGTAAATTCAACCCTTGCAGACACTTAATCCGCCTTCTTCGGCTGACGGATCATACAATACAGCTACCCACAAATTAGCCTTCACCCACACCATACGCCGAGTAAGCACATACCTTGCAAGCATCCTTCCCATCGAGACAATCAATCTCCTCGACGACCTCGAACCCCAACTTCTCATAGATGACCAGATTGGGGAACCCCTTGGAACTCTCCAGGTAGCAGGGCATGCCCTCCAGATCAGCCTTCTGGGTGACGGCCTCGACCAGCTTCCGGCCAACGCCCATGCCGCGCATGGCCGAGTTGACGGCCAGCACGTTGCAGAAGTAGTAGCCGCGGGGGTCGGACCAGATGCGGGCGTGGGTGCGCTCCTGGCGCTGCTTCCACTGCCAGTAGCGCCGGACGTTGAGCCCGCCGCGCCCGCCGAAGCGGATGTTGAACAGCAGCTGGCGGAAGGAGAGGAGCCAGTCCTGCGCCCACACCGTCCACGTCACGGGTTCGCCCGCCGGCTGCGGCGGGAACCACCAGCACACGCCCGCGATGTCGCTGTCGTTGTCGTCGTCGTCGTCGCCGGTTTCGCTCGCGAGCAGGGCGGCCTTGTCGTCGTTGGTGGCACTCACACTCGTCGGGGAGGTCGCTTTGGCGATGTAGATGGGCGCTTGGCAGGAGAGGCCGTATTGGAAGTGGGCGGCCATCGAGGCGGCGTTGCGGTGGAGATTGAACTGGGGGGTTTTTTTCGCGTGTTATTGATGGGTTTTGAGGGCAGGAATGGGAAATGGGCGTGGCTCTACATGTATCCTTATCATACATCATTCGGAGGAAAAGGAATGAGGCAGCGATGGGGGACCGGGTAAGTTATCGCTGCCTCGAATCCCTCTCTTCTCCGGATGGAGACATACTTACCCCAGATCTCTTGTTGAATATCCAGCGGAAGAATGGATCATCGGCAAATGCTTTCTGGATGCATTCTACGGCCGCGGGGATATCCGCTTTAGTAAGAGGGAGGACTTCGATTGCCATGATGGTGTTGAAGGTGATGAAGATATCAAGAACAGAAAGTAGGTCAATGGCAATGAGATTCTCAATTCAATTCCTACTGTGTCTGCGAATGGGTTGCGAGAGAGCAATGGTGTATGCGTGAGAATGGCGGCGGAGGGGGATAAGCGAGATCGCCATCTATTGATGGGAGTCGACCGGACTAACAAGAGTAGAGGAAAGAGAGCAGTGAGAGAGAGGGGAGGAAGAATTGAGGTGATACGGAGAGACGACCAAACAGTTGGACTGGGTTCTCGAGATGCTTGCAGGGTGAATTGAGAGAGGGTGAGAGGTGAGAGGAAGACAGTGAATGGATGAGGGTAGAGTGAAAGACTTATACCGACGCCATCGTTTGCTCAGATTCCGGACCATAGCACGGTGGACGGAGTACCAGTAATCCCCAGTAACCCCCAGTATAAGCCCGGCCCAGCCCATTCGTCCCAATCAGGCAAGTCCTACTCACGCCGCCCGTGACGTCCAAGACTATCCCGCTTTTAGGAGTTCGACGCGTAGGCGGGGCCAAAGTCACGGGACTCATTGAGGGTCCTGGAGCCAATCATGCGCTGCAGATCGACCTCGTTTGGTCATTGCCTAGCTGGCTAGGCGATTTCCGGCAGGTTGTGCCGGGGTTATCATGCTTCTCTGTGAGCCTATCAGCGGCGGTCGATACAACAGGGCTTATCGTGGTCCCAAGATTGCAGAAACATTGATCGATGATGCATTGCTTTCACTTCTTTATTGGACACGTCGACGCCAGATCTTACCTATACGAGAATCCCTGACTTCAGGGGCTGCAAGTTGTTAACCGATGAGGAGTGACAAAAGTCCATTTGACTTACTTCCTTCTCCCAGGCAGCTGGCTTCGGCATTTCCCACCACTCTCCACCTCGTATTCAGAGTCGCATCATCCTGCTCATTTGTTGCATCTTCTTCTCGTTTTATTCCGACTCTGGCCGCGTCACAAAATGCCTGTCGTCCTCGTGCATTGGTGCTGCATGCCGCCTAAGCATAAGTTAGGTTCTTGTGCCGGGTGGAGGATAGATTTCCAGGAATGTCCTCGTACTACGAATGATTTCATAACAGCCGGACTCGTGACAAAAGTGGTGTCTCGGGACCGAGAATCGGTGAGACCTGGCGCACAGCATAGTTTCCATTCTTTCGGAGTACCGTAGATCATTTAATTGAGTAAACGGAACCTCTTCGCCTGGAATCACCATCGACGTCAAAGGGAGAGATGCTCACCGCTCGCCGAGCGCCAAGAAAACCACCTTCAATTCTCAGACATGGGCTCCTTACAGAAAATATTGTGGCCTTGTGTATGGAATGCAAATGTAGGAAACGCATCTCTTCGAGAGGTTACCAAGCATGATTCTGGAGTAAGTAGTTTAGGCACTACCGACTCTTTGTTATCATCTTCATCTGAACGAATTCTCTCCTTGCACGTTAGTCGCCTCACCAACACATGCATACTCATGAAGGAGGATGGCTTTGGTACATTATAGCGTCAGACATAGAATCAGACCGACATTTGGCTACGTAATTGCCGAGACTTTCCGCGAGCAACCTCGACGGATCCAATCAACCCCGGCGTATGTCATGAGGAGGCACTCCTCCTCACGTAATGACAATGGCTTTTCGAAGATTGGCTCTGACCCTGAGTCCTTTTGTGGTCGGCTCTCAGAGACTAGACTTCAGTATCAATCTCAGAGTCATATCAGCCAAAGGTTATATTAGATTTCCGATCGGCGAGAATCTGCGATCCAGTTCATCCAACCGACCCCGAAAGGTAGCCCAATAAGCTTAAATAGGCTGCCAGCACCACGTAAGAGATCGAGGGTAGAGCATCTTTGTTATGTCATCTTCTCAGACTAGTTATCAACCTGTCTCTTTTCTTCTGAAACTTTGTAGTTTGACAGAAGCCAGAATACTGCCTGACTCTAAATAAGTCCTTTCAGCTAGTAGATGTTCTGATAGTGGTCAAGCGGGACCCGTTCGTAAGGTGATCTTGGAGTCCGTCCGGACACGGCTAGCGGGCCGGATGCCCCCACTTCTTCCACCAGATCGTGATCGGAGCCGAGTGGAGTAGACGTAAGAACAGATGAACGGAGATGATGTGGGACCAGGAGGAGACACAACTGAGAATGTTGAAGACTTTGCCTGAGGGAGGTCAACAGACTCGGGGGAAAGAGAGCTGACCCCCTGACTCGGGTACAACACTCCGTCCCAAACTGAAAGGACCATTCACTGCCTCCATCCAGATCTCAGTTCCATCCGGGGAATTTCAACCTATGCCATATGCGCCGCTCCTCGTGCATTGCCCTTGGTCTACGGGTCCCGGACGCGATGCTGCTCAAGGGATGCGATTGACACGAACTATACGTGGGCCGCACGATCCATAATTCTGTTCCTATGCGACTTGTGACTAACCAGACTTTCTAGAGTCGATGGTTCTGTGCAGATTAGTGTCAAAGGGCGAACGCCAATGTGCACTCCATGCATAGTTGGTGTGAGGGCGTTGATGTACATTACTTGAAACCTAACAACTTGAATGTATGCGGGTAGTCGATTCAGGCTCGACGACAGAACCATTTAAGGGACTTGTGTCTAACGAGAAGGATCTATCTCCTTGAGAGCCGGCCATGGCTGTGCGTTCTTGGACTACTCGATGTCATTTCCGCTTGCAAGTAGGGGAGGAGACAGGTGGCCCTGAGAGCGCTAAGCGCATTCACTGCCGACAGACAACCTTGAGAATTTTGAGACCAGACAAGCCAATGATATCCATCTTCCCTCAAGAATGGGTGGATGAGATCTGCCTTGGCTGCAGACGTCATGGAGGCCTCCTAATGTATCAAGTTGTCTGATGGTTTCTAGATCAGTACGCATCAACGTCCATACACTCTCGTTTGTGTCAAGACACAAGGCCTTGTGGTTGATGGCAGCCTTCATGGTGCTTCGTATCCTGGTGACTCTTCAATATAGCCCTTGCGTGTATAAAGTCTTCTACTGACCATAACTCTTTTCCAGAATCCATTCTGATGAAAGATCCGGATTGAAGCATAGGCTGATGCCTGGGTGTATGAACGCAATTATATCCCCAAGTGCTCCCAGTCGCATCTTCGCCAGAGTCATCTCACCAGAGTCATTGACGGAGCGATAAGTGAACACGCGATGGAGTAACCAATGCTGTGCAATGTGATTGGATTACACGGAGGCCAGGGATGATAGCCTGTGTAGAGTATCTTCATAGTAAGAAAAACATCACCATGGCCAGGTCGAGACTACACTTCTAGTGCCCTCCGGAGACACGATGAACTAGACGCCCGAGTTCAAACAAACTCGCAACCGATTAGGCCATGTAACACCGATATGTTGTGGCAGGTCTTAGTCAGAAAGCTCAAGTCCCCATGGAATCGATCACGTGGATTCAACTGGGTCCATAACCCCCCGAAACGAGCCACCAGAATGCTATACAATATAGCATTCTCTACAAGTTCTCGAGCGCATGGACGGAGAATGGCCGGAGTCGGAAAGTTCTGTTTGTGGAGTAACTCCAGCCAAGAGGATCAGAAGGCGCATGCCCAGTGATACATTGTATCTTCCGCGACACCTTGGGGGTATATCGCGTGATCATAGTGTCTGGACCTGTACCCCATCGAACATCACACTGGATCAGTTGCATGGAAGAATTGCATGTTGGGAAAGAAAAATAAAAAAAGGCTACTAATCTTGTGTGCGACCTTCAGCCTTGGAAAGGAGGGTTTTAGAGACAGTACCCATAGAACGAGCACAAGACAACGTGAAACAAAGTGCTACATTAACAATGACTAAAAACTGCGCATACTAAGTCAATGTCAAGGTAGTTCTCCTACGCTGTCTTCGAAAGTGTATTAGCCTACGGGAAATCTCTAGTGAGTCCATATTAGAGACGAAAGTCACACTAACTTCTCGATGCTTGACGTGATATGTGGGCACTGTAATAGCATCTGTGAGCTAGCGAGCTTGGGGCCTTGTCGACTGCTGGAAACTCTAGGTAGCCGCAGCATGATTTGGGTTTCTTGAGGCAGTCATGACAGAGGAGATAGGCCTGGGGTTGCATCTGCAGCGATTTGAAAAGCTCTGTTCAATTCCATTCGGGCTGTAATGAGAAGAGTGGTGAGTGCATCCGAGCCGTCCGCATCAGCACACCTTATCCCTACCAATTTGACAGAACGATTACGCCTTATATGTCGAATGAGGCTGATGGAATATGCGAGCTCGACAGCATTGAGCAGGAAACCTGTCACCCAGACTTATCTGGTTAAACAGCTTATCTGCTGTAGCGGTTCGTTTAGAGCCGGGAGAAGCATCGAATCGGAGGAGTGACACCGGCAAGGTCTCGGCAACCATCCGAGGTATTTTTCTGCGCATTGCCGGCATAGAGACCAGGATCTGGCATCACAGCGAGCGGATGGTTATGGCTATCTTGTGGCTATCTAGATCATGCGGTTTAGAGACTTGGGCAGGGATCAGTCGGCTTCCTAGGCAGCACTACCAGCGACCATTACAGGAACGAGAAGTAGTAAGTTATAGATAGTTAACTGGTAGTAAATACTATACTACAAACAGAAGGAGATTCCGAACGGTTTGATCGGCACTTTGAGCGAGTATATTCTGGTAGACTATGCCAGCATAGCCTAAAAACAGCAACATGTTGTTGCCACTGCACGGGGGGGCACACAGCCACAGGAGGAATCCACCTTTCTATTTGTAGCCGGTCGTGCCTTTGAGATGACGAAAACCGAGGAAGCCGGACGCGATAAGGCATCACCCGATCTCGGAGCACGGTTCTTGTCAGCCCCTCCCCCGCCAATTGATTCCCATCCCCAATGCCGGCAGTCGAATGATCCCGGGGATAGGAGGGCGTGGCAGTTTTGTTGATGTTCCCAATCCATCCGGCTCTGCACCGGCCCGGTCGGTGGCTGGCAGTGAAAGTGAGCAGTGGGGAGCGGACACCGCCTCCATAATTGCCCAAACCAGTAGTTTGGAAGGGCTAGGGCTAGAGGCATCACGCGTCGGTCAACCTATTTTGGTTGTAGGGCGGAGTGAGGTTTGCCGGGCGGTGTGAGTTTCCCGGCGGCACCTCCGCCTGACCACGTGCCGCTTGACCTAATTGAGGAAACAAGGGCAGACGCGCGCGCGCACCCGCCCCGCCCCGCGCCGGAAACACGAATCACTTCCCTCTTCACCGAGCCATCGCCGAACGCGGTCGCAGAATCCCGATCGTTTGTTTGTGGATTGTCACAAGTCTGCGTTCTTATGATGAGTGTCCCAGTTGAGTCATCAGGGATTAGATTTTGCATGCTTCAGTGGGTGAGATAGACAAGGCCATCTGAAGTGGTTGGGATTGTTTCACTCCTCACCAGACAGCCGCAGTTGCTCATGGAGATAGGCCCGCCCCTCGGTATTGGCAAACCCACCGATTCCGAAGGCGGGAATGATGCGACACATCCGCGTCAGCGACGCCCCGATCCAATCCCGACTCACTCGCGCCATCCGGTCCGCGGCAGGAATCGTTATCGGTCGGTTGTAGAGGTCCAAACCCAGCAGATGGATCGGGGTACTGATGAGTTGGATCGAGGCTGGGATGGCCAATTGCGCAAGGAGGATCTTGGCGTACTCGCTCGAAGCGACCGAGTCTGGGATTGAGGTAGAGACCATCGCCGGGAGGCTGAAGGAGCCGAAGATCGTCAGGGCGTCGCGGATGAGGAAGGCTGAGTAGGTAGCAAAGGGAATGGAGCGGGTGACGGAGCGGAGGATCTTGCTCTGGGGTGCCGCGGCGGCGGCGGCGGCTGGTTTGGTTGCGCCTGTGGCTGCCGGAGTTGATGCCGCTGCAGGGGGCGGGGGTGTAGTTGTCCCCGCAGTGCTGGTGTTGTGGTTGTGGCCGAAAAGTTGAGCGAACTTGACGTCCTTCCAAATGCCGACGGAGGAGTTGACGACGAACGTGGTCAAGAACGTCGACGTCGTGGCAAGTGCGTGGTCGATGTGTGGATAGACCTCGCTGAGGACGGTCTCGGTGGCATTCGCCGCCGCGAACGTTGCGGTATAGAGGGACCAGACAAGCAGACTGGGTCGCGACGTGAGGAAGGTCGCAGGTTGCGTGATAGAGAGCCACAGGTGTCGACGAAATGCGGGCAGAAGAGGTTGATTGTGAGAGGACTTTTCCACCACCAGTCTAATTTGAGGGTCAATACGTGCATTCGCTCTCGAGAAGCCAGGTGAGCTGTACCTGTCCAGAATCATCACGGCCGGAGTGACCAAGGCTGCTGAGCCTGCAGCAACCGTGAAATCCGCCGTCAGAAGTTCTGCCAACCGATTGCGCTGTAAGCTCCACGGGAGCGTCTGCTGGAGAACGAAATCATGATCCATGGTGATGTTGAGTAGAAGGGCACCCCTGGCCCTAGAAAGGTGACGGTGGGGGTTCCAACAAAAGAGATATTCTCGGGCTATCCTATAAACAAAGGAAAGGCGTGGAAAGAATGGTGTAGTAGTAAGGGTATCTAGTATCCAGTCAGTCAGACATGCACACGGGCAATATAGAGTATAGGGCAACACTCACCTATGGATGCATACAAATCGCTAGAACGTAACGCTGAACTGGATATGAAAGGAATGAAAGTAGCAGGCGGGCGACAAAACGAGGAGGGTCACCGCGGGGACCCAGCGTGATAATAAAATAATACAACCGAACAAAATAAGGTAATGGGTGTATCCCAAGGTTGGGCAACGTCAATAATTCCCACAGTGCACACCACCTAAGCACTGGCACTGGCTGGCAACAAGGAACAATATCCGTTCGGAGCGAGGGCATCTTCGGCGGGTGTGACCAATGGAAGCCAACCGGGCCGGGACCCGGGTAGCCTCGGGCATAAAAGATGATAGGCAGCCCCAGGCCGATGCTGCTACATAATGGAAACTGAGGCTGTTGGTTGTGGGTGTGGATCGTGTTCTAGAAGGAGAACACGACTAAGGTGAACTGTGAAGCGAAGGTGAGGAAGAGGGAGGGGCAGTCCTCAGGGGGTGGAGTTCGCTATTGGGCCATGACGAGCCTGGCCTGCTTAATCGGTCTTATTCACCGCTGATTGACTGGCAAGAAGTCTGCAGTCAGAAAATTTAGCATGGATAGATTGGATCTGTCGCAACTGTACTCACATAGTAGTCTAGCTTACTTCACATCTTCCACTGCCAGAATCACCTTCACGGTAGAAGAATTGGCCGAAATGTAGCCATTCCCAATTCCTCGGCGGGAACCACGGGTAGGGCCCGACTGGGGGATCAGTGGGTTCGTAACCCTGATAATCACCCACTAATTTGCAATAAATAAGTCTAATACTTGGGAGCTTGAACCTACCACCAATCATCACCGCCAGCATCGCCCTTCCTCAATAGATAAGAATGGTCCGTCGATTTGCCCCTCTTTGATCCACCGCCATGACCAAAACAGCGAAACGAGCAAAAACAGAGGGCGCGGAGATAACTACGACGGCAGTACGCGCCAGTTGAGTTGCTACGCTGTCCTTCTCGGTACGGCGGCGTCAAATCATCAAAGCCCACACTGCATTGACTGCTGCTCTTCGGGCCCTAAAGCAAATAAGAATGCCTACTCTAAACCCCCTCCTCCCGCCTTTGTCTCCCGTAATTCGAAGCACCCGGGTGTTCCCATCCCTATTCATGAATCAAGCAATACTGGTCCAGAACTGCAAACGAATGCCCTGTAGCAAACAAAAAACGCTCTCAAAACGAAGTCATGATAATCGGTCGCTGGTGTATTTCCGCCGGGGTAGTACGGGCGACTCGAGTCCGGGTCATCCCATGCGCCCTCACATGATCGTACAGCAGGAGTTCTGCTTCTTCGCCGAGGTGTAAAACATCTTCGACTGTGCACTCAGACCTTCCGACTTAGATACCAAGTCATCGATCTTCTCGCCGCGTTCGAGGACCTAATTCAGAGAGTCAGCCCTGTCAACTGACTGACCACCTGCTACAACCCAGGACTATCAACTCACACTCTCGATGGTCTTGTGAAGTACGATCTTTGTCTCATCCAGCTCCTTCTGGATCTTGAGGATGCTGTCCACCTGGTGGGGGTCCTGGTAGGCTTGGATGTAGGTCTTCAGCGAGGGGAAGGAGATCGGTTCCCGCGAGGAACCAGCGTTCGGGTGGAGGGTGAGAAATTCGTCAAGAGTCTTGGAAAGGACCTGGTGAGCGGCGAGCGAAGGATACTCGTTATCACTGATGATGACACCGGCGATACCCTGGGTGCGCGCGTATACGTGGAATGTGAAGTCTGGGATCTGGCGGTCAGGGGCTGGTGGTCGAATAGGACTAGGTGGACAAATAACTCGAGATGACGGGTGGAAAACTTGCCTTGCTCTTGAATGTCCTGTCGTTGGCCTTGTTTCGTGCGTTCGGCGACGGTCTTGCTGAACATAGTCATGAACTCGCTAATGCTACCCCTGGTAAAGCGCGAGTAGCTGCTAAGCTCACGCTCGGCGCAGAGCTCCACCGCGGGGGCCTGGCCATTTTGAAGGATCTAGATCGGCGTAGGCGTTAGAGACAGTTGTCACAATAGAAGGAAGAAATGAGGAGCACTCACTCCGATGTAAACGATCTTCATGTTGACGGCGACGGGGGGTTCTGTGAGGCTGACGTCGATGACCAGCCGAAAGCTTGCGGGGCGACGGTTGAGGTTGCGCTTCTCACCGCCTTGGCGCCTGGGGCATCCGTGCCTTTCTTTGTAGTCGTCATCACGGGTTCTTTCTCAATCTATCATGAACTATATCTGGGGAGGTACTGAATATGTCCAAGTAACTTCACTATAGAGTTCTCGACATGCTATCTCTCATCAGCACACTGACTTTTATGCTAGACCAAAGAAGATATCCGTAATGTGGGACCCCATCATCACTGGAATAATCCATATGCATGTGGCTTGATCGATATATATATATACTTAGTACTACGATTGCCATGTGTCGACACAACAAGCTGGCAGCACACTTCATCCTAGCAATTAGTCGTCGCCATACTTTATTTTGATCACGCAATATCTACATTCTCAGGCACAATACGCAGTACCTGAAGGTTAAATCAATGACCACGTTGTTGATTTACGAACACGAGTCTTGGCCGGATTCTCTATCGGATCCGCCCCGGTAAACATCAAGAGAAACACACTAAAAGTGACTACGCATGATTGGCGATATAACCTGCAAAACTCATGAAAGAGAGTACCATCGTATGGCTGATCAGAATTCGGAGCAAACCGACCGACTACGGTTTCGCGGATTGCCCACAGCACCAAGCATCGAGGTTGCTTATTGTCAACGAACTGAGAGGCTTCAGGGGAGGTTCTGGGACGTGTTTGATATGATCCTTGATGGTTGGTTGGTTGGTTGGTTGGTTGAACTAGCTACGTTCCGTATGTAAACAAGATGAAAAGGTCTTGGAATCACGTGGCCGGATTACTTAGCAGCGCTGACACTTATCGTTGGTGCGGCCTTGGCCACGGAGGCCACTACTGATACGAGTATGCAACTACATACATCCACAATTAAAAGAATCCCTCTGAGAGTGGTCATGGCTCGCATCTGCGCAGACATCGCCATGCGTTGACAAAGATTGTCTGAGGAAAGTAGGTCGGTTGTTCGCCGTCGAGCATAACGTCGCAATGAATATTCTCCGATCCGTACGCACTCCACCCTGCACTCCATTGATGAGCTTAACATAATACTAGTCTTGGGCAAATTCTCCCAGCAGCTAACGAAATGCAAATGCAGGTCAACCGAGATGCATGAACTCTTTCTGGAGGAATTGAGCTAGTCCTGCATCACTCGCAGATCCTCATAAAAGGGTCCGAATCAGTTGCGCGTTCAAAGGGGCAATCGAAGGTTAGGATTGAAAGGAGAGAACGAGACACAGATTGAGTCTATGTGGATAACCATGTGAGGGATTTTCCTCCCAGCATGCAAAGTTTTCTTTTTCTCCGCTAACATGCACGTTCTTGCTCAGTATTTTGGGTCTAGAATAGTTGTTGTTGTTTTTCTATGACTCGTTCTCTTCTCTCCCTTGTTGGAACAATTGAAGATCCGCGATAAGGAGTGGAATGCCAGCCAGAATGAAAAGTCAATGCCACTGTTTCCGGGACAGGATCTGCTCACGACTAACCCTTCATGAACGTAAACTAAGCATCTGAACCAGGGACCAAAGGGATCAGTGGAAGAAAAGGGCCCTGGACAACGTCACATTCGGTCGCAATCGTGATGTCCGAGATCTTGGGTGCCGTGCAACGCCGTCCCGTCATTGTAACGCGCCCCAGCGCCGCAACCGGAAAGCTTCCCTTGCTAGGAATGCAACGGAGAACTGGAATTCCCGAACTAACAACATCCTGTCCACCCAAACAATGGAAGGGCTGGGGCAGAGGTAAACATCAACCACAAACAGGCCTTCTGAAAAAGCATATATACCGTCGTTTGCTCCGTCGTTTTCTATCCCTCTTCATCATCGTCTCTCACTCTCTCACTCCAATCAAACTATCTATCAAACCTCCAAACCAAACCCTCTTCACCACTATCATCACCATGCGCTTCTTCGCCATTCTCGCTGCTGCCACTCTGGCCACCGCCACCGCTGCTGTCGGTGGTCCCTCCGCCCGCAACCTTGAGGTCCGCGCTGCTGAGGGCGACAAGGGCGACAAGCCCCGCTACCCCGTTCCCGATGACTGGACCATCGAGCAGGGTTCTGCCAAGTGTGGTAACCAGGCTCAGCTCTCCTGCTGCAACAAGGCCACCTACGCCGGCGACACCACCACCATCGACGATGGTGCTCTGGCCGGTCTCCTCGGCAACATTGGCGGTACCGGCTCGGGCTCTGAGGGTCTTGGTCTCTTCGACCAGTGCTCCAAGCTCGATCTCGAGAGTATGTTTTTCGCCAGCACCATCCTATCATCTTCTCCGAGAAAGGATGCCCCAAGAATAAGCAATGCTAACATTGACCTGTTCTCCCACAGTTCCTATTATCGCCATCGACGCCCAGGACATCCTCAACCAGCAGTGCAAGCAGAACATTGCCTGCTGCCAGTACAGCGGAGCCGACGCTGTGAGTTTCACCTCCAAAGCTCCCCTATATTCCCGAAGAGCGGATAAACTAACACAACTGAATAGTCCGACGACCTTCTCGGTGTCGCTCTTCCCTGCATTGCTCTGGGTTCCATCATCTAAGCGAGTCTCTCTGCACGGCTGGATGCAAGGATGGGCGAAATTGCTCTTTTCTTATTTTTCTGTTCTTTTTGGCAAGAGTAGACCCATTTCTGGACTTTCTTCCTTTCACTAGACTGCCCTTTTTTTTTAAAAAGTGATTCCTAGTCTACATAATTACACCCTAATAAATACCACCGCTTAATTCTACACACAATGTCTTTGAATCCGTATGGTATAGAAGAGAGGGAGACTGTCTACTAAAATCTGGCAATTGCAACCGTCTCATTTGTTGAGGTACCAAACTACAGTTCTTCTGAGCCCACAAACCACTTTCCTCCCAGTGAACACTCGCTAACGGCACTCAGACACAGGCACCTGACAAACCCCGCTGACAAGAACTCGGATCCATCGGATGACTGAGAAGACCTCAGTCATCGAACCTCCATTGGTCGGGGTATAGCATGGCAAGAACATTACAGCCTTGCAAGTATAATGCATAAACCTTCCCATGCCAGCGGTGCCCTACTTATCCCACAGAGGTTTCGGAGTTTCCAAGTTTGCAAGGTGATATCGCTACTGGAACAGCACATTATGGCCACGGGTTTGAAATGCACCAACTCGGAAAAGACTTTTTTTCTAACCAAGCAGTGTACTGCTGCGAAAGCTTCACTGTTAAAGTGGCAACCGGTGGAGCTCCGAACAAGCTCGCTAGTGACCCGGAATGCTTCTTCTCGAGATTCCACCCACTCCGAAAAACTGGGAGACGAAAACTGCTCCTCCATAATGACGTTGCCCCTGAAAGAGCCTCTCGCTCTACCGCGCAAGATAGCTCATTACCAACGTGCCTCAGAACTGGCACAAGGCCTACTTATTTTCTTTTTCGATGGGGTCTACTCTGCAAGGGTTATACTACAGTACATAGGCAGTCCACCATGCCTTAAGTCACTCCATGCCAATGGGGGAGTGAGAAGAATTGTGTGGGCTTTCCCCAAAGCATGAAGATAGGCTGACCCCTGATCAAAGTTCCCACGACGCTCGAACCACCTTTGCAAGACGAGCAATGCCACGTTCCATCTCCTCCCGCTGCCACCATAGATCAGCGACCGTCGGCACCAAGTAAACGCCAGAGCAAGGGCAGATTATCCACTTACCGTCGTCATGGAGAAGGAAAATCGAAATTTCGTCACTGTCGGTTTCGCGCCTCGAGCTTGGGTTGTTACCTTGCCCTCCCCTTGCCAGGGATGGTAATATGAGCCGGGAGTCAAAAGGACCTTACTCGGACTCAGGATCAGTACCAGTCCCCAGCGGACAAAACGGAGAAAAGGGGATAGAGTTCAGTCAAATAAGCAAAGGAGCAAGCGTACCCGTTCTTCGATTAACATCTCCCAAAAATGCTCCGCGAAGCAATCCTCCGAATCCTCAAGAGATTGATCGTCGCGCATCTTCCGAAATGTCGGGTTTGCGTGGAGGTGGAACTGCGCCCAGATGAACATCCCCCCCGTTGGCGGCACGAACGAGAAGATCGGGACGGCGTCGAGAACCGCCACGAGAGTGGAGTCCGCCACATCCAGTTCGGAATGCTGCGAACCCGAGACGAGGGTGAATTCGTGCTGGAAGGCACGGATCATCCAGTCCCGACGGGCTTGGTATTCGTCTCGCAGGCTCTGGAGCCAGGTTTGGTACCCGTCCAACCCCCATGTCTGCAGGAGGCTGAGCACGACGGCTTGCCAAAGGCCGGACGGGTCTTGGGTCTCGACCTCCGTGGCGAGGAGGAGGCGCTGGATGAAGAATGGGCGGGCGATGAAGTATCCGAGGCGAAGGCCGGGAGCCAGAGTCTTGCTGAATGACTCGAGGCGGATGGCGCGACCCTGGTAGTCGATTTGGAGGAAGGATGGGGCGAGACTGGCGAGGAACTGTTCGTTGGATGTGCTTGTATCATTGGTGGTCTTCGAATTGAGTTCGTATTCCGGGAATTGGAGGAAGAAATAGGGGTCGTCTTCGACGATGATGATGTCTGGTATGGATTGGAGTAAGTTTTCGTCGGTAGTTGATCAAGCAGAGCTCAGATGAAGATCTAATGACCATACCGAACACAGATCTCATAGATCTTGCGCCGTCGCTCGACTCCCATTGTCACGCCAGTAGGATTCGAGCCCACGCTCACGAGGTAGAGAACGTGCGGACGCTGGAAAACCTGGATGGTTCAGCTCCCATTCAGCCAGAGTGGATTCTAGGGAGTCATCGTGGAAGCCTTGAGCATCCATGGCCACTGGTGCGGCGTAATTGCCCAACGGAACCCAACATGCTTGAGCGGAAGGGTATGTGAACTCTTCGCAAAGGATATAATCTCCTCTTTCGCAGAGAAGGCTAATCACCTTGCTCCAAGCATTGGTGTTACCCGGATGCAGGAGGATGTCGAAGTTCTCGCAAAGGGGACGATGGACGTGCTGGGTGAAGTCGCGGCACCGTTGCCGTAGCTGCGCGTCTCCTGCACCACTCCCTGGCCAAGTTACGGTGAATGAAGATAGAGAGACGGGAAGACAGAACCTACCGTACTGGAGGAAGCTAGTAAACGGATTTTCCGCTTCACCAGCAGTCAGATCTAAACTTATCTGGAGAATGTACATTTTCGGTATAGTGTTTAGGAAGCCTGCCTGTGGGGCTTTTGGATGCGATTCATTGCCACTGGACGACCGATTTCAGGATGGAAAGAGGCTTCGAATCAATCTTCTTCCGAGAGAGGGGGGCTTGAGTACTTTATACGACGAACTAAGTATGAACAGTGGTTCAAGTGCTTTTACGTGTTCAAAAAGTATACTGTATGGTGTATACGAGATCCCAACCGCCCCATCTAGATCTAGATCCACTTTAGCGAGTAACTAGTGCCGTTGTCAATGCTGAACCTGAACCTCCCCCCTCCGCCAAATCTTGATAGGGATCGGTCCCAGCCCCGTATTCGTGGTTTCATGCCTCGTGGGTTCCCAGGTCGGATGAGGCAATGCGAACTCGTAGCGGTGCACCAGCGAAGCGATCAACACGGTCTGCTCCAGGTAGCTGATGTTGCGACCGATACACCCGCGGGCGCCGGTGCTGAAGGCCACAAAGTACGGCTGCAGGTCCTTGCCCGCCTCGCCGAGCCAGCGCTCCGGCTTGAAGGCGTCCGGCTCGGGGAAGACGGCCTCGTTGCGATGCACGACATACGCCGAGATCCCGACCGACGTGTTCCCGGGCACGAACTCGCCCAGAATCGTGGTCCCCCCCGGGGGCGTGCGGCGCGGCAGCGCAAACGAGACCGGCGGATACAGCCGCATCGACTCATCCAGACAGGCCCGCAGATAGGGCAGATGTTTGACCTTGTCGTACGGCGCGACGACCTCCTCCTCTTCCAGAACTTCGTCCACCTCCTCGCGCAGCTTCTGGAGGCAGTGCGGGTGGCGCAGAAGCAGGAACATGACGTTGCTCAACGCGATGGCCGTGGTGTCGGACCCGGCGTTGATCATGATGCTCACCTCGGCGACCACCTCGCCCCATTCCAGGTTGTGCGGCACCCCGGTCTTGTCCGCCATCATCGCGGCGAAGAAATCGTCCAGCTGCTCCCCGTTCTGGTAACGTTTCCACCGGTTGTGGGCGCGGCTGTAGACGATCCCGTCCCAGTCCTGGCTGAGCTGCCACTTGCGGCGGAACGTGGTGGACAGCAACTTGCTGGCTTTGACGAGGGTGTGGTACCACTCGTAGCACCAGATTAGCGTCGAGGTGGCCGACCCGTTTGCGAAGTGGCATTCTCGGAAGCTCACGCGCTTGATGGTCCCGTCCATGGATTCGGACGTGATCTGGTCGTTGCCTTGGTCCAGAAAGCGGATATCTTCGCTTAGGCCGATGTTTGCGATGGCTGCAATGGTGAACAGGTTCGTCCACAGACGGTAGTCAACCGTCAGATCCTCTTCCTTGGGGCGGTAGCCGTTGGGGAGGGGATCCGTGCACCGGGCATCGAACGCCCCGATGATGCGCCGCGTCATGTCGGCGACCTTGTACTCCCAGGATTCGAGGTTCTTGAGCGCGTAGGCACTGGACAGGACCTTGCGCTTGCGGGCGTGCTCGCTCTTGTCGACGACGTCGGCGAGGTGGAAGTGAGAGCCGCTTGTGATGGAGTAGAACAGGTCCTTGGTGCATTTCGTGCTGTGGCCGTAGATGTCTCTGATGGCATTGGGGTCTGCGTAGGATAACATGTTGGGGCCAGTGCGGAGCACTGGATGGTTCTTATGGGCTGCAAAGAGTCGCTTGTATTGCGTGCCTCTGTGGGACTCGATCACTAGAGGAAGACTCGAGATTCCCGACCAGAGTGAGAGTTGGGGGTACTTGCGGAGACCTTTGGGATCTCGGAAGTAGTTGATGACGGGACGTATGCCATGGTAGAAGAATAAAAGATGACAGAGGATGAGGAGGACTAAAGCATACATGATTGTGAAGAGGAGGCTGGCTCAATTAATTTGTGCGAATGTTCTGTGGTCATCGCGAGCAGCACTTGATTGATATATGTCGATGCATCTGTATACTTACCCGGGATTATGCCCAAGCGAAGACAAAAGCGGTTAGCGCCGGCGAGACTATCCCCAAATATCAGAATGGTAAATGTCGGCGAACATGCAATCCACTGCATGATTGTCAATCCACATGCTGGATGATCCATGCAAAAGCAGCTGAGACGGCATGGGGCTGCACGAGAGGACAAAATTCGATCAGGCTCTGTCCAATTTAAACATACAATCCACCATACATAAGTGGTGGCATAGCCCGGGAGCAGCGCAACTGGAGGTCTCCGCGACACCTGAAGCCTCGATAACGAAATGGCTTATACTGAACGTCCTAGCTCAAACTCTCTTGACCCTCACAACTATGCAGCAATAAAGCTAGCACAAGGTTTAGGGCAGAGTGGTGGTCGCATTGACGTTGACAAGGTTGGTTTGCTGCGACCCTCTGCACCTGCGCTTCCATTGGACGAACTTCGCCGTCGATTCGAGGAGGATGGATACCTCTTTGTTAAAGGACTTATTCCCCGTGAGGATGTTCTGGACGCTAGGGAGAAGTAAGTACGCTGCCTGCATGTGAGCATCCGGGGTATATTTCTGTTATTGACTGTGGTCCAGCTATTTCAACGCCTACGCCCACACATCTCTTCTGCAACCGGGGTCATCCCTGCGGGATGGTATCTTCAACAACTCGTCTCATCCCGATCTACACAAGGGCATTGGTGGTCAAGGCCTGCCGGCTGATCCTGTCGAGGCTAAGATTCTTATCGACGCCCACTCCGACCCCAAGTACCGTGCCTTTGTCGAGCATCCCGCTCTGACGCATTTCATCCGGCTGTTGATGGGCTGGAAACAGCATGTGCTGCTGGACCGAACGATGCTGCGCCATAATGTCCCCTTTGGGATGGGCACTGGCATACATTACGATAAGCTTTTTCTGCGCGGAGGCGAGGGATACTGCCTCACTGCTTGGGTCCCAATTGGTGAGTTGAATGATATCTCCGAAGTGGTACGCTATTCTAATTCATCGAGGCGATATCTCAATCAATGGTGGAGGACTGTGCTACCTGGAGAAGTCTGTAGCGCTAGGACATGAGATTGAGGAGGATTTTACCACTCGCGCTGCCGGGTTCACGACTGAGCAGCGCCTTTCCGCCTATAACGTCAACATGATGGCTGGTGGAATGCTGGCCAAGTCGCCTAACGAGTTCGTGTCAGATCATCCAACCTCCAAGTCTCAAAAGTGGCTGGCCACTAATTATGAGGCGGGCGACGTGGTTTTCCATCATCCGTATACCATCCATGCTAGTGGGCGCAACGAGGATGCGCAGGGGCGCATTCGATTGAGTACGGACTTGCGTTTCTATGAGACTGGGGATGCGGGGATGGATGAGCGGTGGTTCAAGATCTGGGATCCCAATGATGGACTGTAAATTTTGGGGTACATTCGGTTGAATCGTTGAAAGTACCGTACGTAGTTGATTTAGTTGATTAATTGAACCATGGATGGGCGGGGTTGCCGAGTAGATGGAGTAGCCGAACAGGCAACCGTCGCCGAACCCCTCCAATTTTGTGAGATCCATCTCTTCAACTCTACCAGCTACTCCTTCCCACCTTCACCGATTCTCTGCCTTGCATGCCAGCAAGGCGCCAACCCTGGTAAGCACCCTTAAATGTCTTATTTTATAGACACTACTGATTGGCTTTAGTGAGCATTGCCGAAGTAAGTGCTCAACTTTTGTCCCTGTGGGCTGCTCGCTTACTCATTGAACCCAGGACACCACCTGCGATGTAGGCATTTTCAGAATAGTCACGTCGCCTTCGTCACTGAACTCACTTCATCTGCCTCATAGGTGATGACTCTCGCCCCAAATGTGAACGATGCCGAAATGCTGGGAGAGAATGCATTCGTTCCAGCCCACAGTTGCAGTTCCTGAACACAACCAGCGCAGAATATGCGCAGGATTTCTCTGATGCGTCAAATACACTAGATATCAGTATGGCTTTTCTTCTGGTTACAATCGCAGCTTACCTTCCAGCAGGCAAACATGCATTTCAATACGTCGATGAGACTCCAGCCTTAGCAGCCCTTTACGCGGCAGAGACAACTATTGCCGCGGAGCAGACTGACGCGTTTCCCTCTCATCCAACCCGCCAGATCGAACATGGTGGCATTCGCAGCTCAGAACAGACATGGGACGAATCGAGACTATCTGCAATCAATACTCTCCTCGCCGCTGATCTACCGTCACCGCAATCACAAACCCAGGCCACGCAGGCACAGTTGAGCCTAGAGGAAGCCTGTCTTATCCGTTATTTTGTCGAGAGTCTCGGGTTATGGGTACGTTGTCTTTGATAAGGTTGTGCGGCTATTGCTCAGACCCTCAGTTCGACCTGTGTGACCCGGAAAGGCACTTTGCCGTCGTTGTTCCACAAAGAGCGCGTATTTGCGCACCTCTTCTGGACGCGATCCTCGCCGCATCCGCCCGGCATTTCAGCACTCTCCCTCAACAACGTCAGCTCGCAATAACACAACAATATGGATTGAAAGAGGGCCTCGCTATTGGCGAGGAGTCTATGCTCGCCTACCACAGTCGCTCTATCGCTGGCCTACGTGCTGCCAGCCAGGAACCTAACGCGATCATGGACGAGAACCTACTTGCCGCGGTTGTGATTCTCCGGTTCTATGAAGAACTTGACAGTATACCTTCTCTCAATCCCTTCCACTCCTCACCCCTTGGGAGAACGCCTCGGCTGATCCACCAGGTCCCTTTACCGATCCCCCCTCTGACACCGCCATCCGTGGTCTCCAAGTCTTTCTCGAAGCACAAGCTTCTTCCGCGATCCAGACGTGTCATGGCCTCCGCTCCTCAGCCTTCTGGGTCGGCTTCCGGCAGGAATTCCACATGGCCATCACCCAGCGTCGATCCTTCCGGATACCCCTCACCACTGTGGCTCACTACCTTCCCACCCGAGCCTCTCCAGACCATATCTGGGCGAACCGGTTGCTCATCATCGGGGCGCATGTCATTCAATACTGTTTCCCGCCAGTCCATTCTCCTGAACAATCTCCCGGTCAGAAATCCACCGTCTATGAACACCTTCTCAACCTCCGCCAAAGCTGGGCGGCTCGCGCACCCTCGAGCTTCACCCCAATCTACACCACTTCTGCTTTGCCCTCCGAAGGACTCTTCTTCCCACAGCAATGGTTCCTCAACGACACCCACATCGTGGCCACGCAATCCCTCGGGCTCATCGATCTGTTGCTTGCCACGCACGACCCCCACGTTGACCGGCTCCGCCCCCGCGTGTCGCACCGTCGGGCGCTTGCCGTGCTAGACGAAGAGATCCGTACCACAGTGCGGGAGATCTGCGGGGTGGCGGTAGCCAACCGACAGAGTCCAACGGCAGCGTTGACAGCGAGTCTGTCGGTGGTGCTAGGGGCGGAGACGTTTCGGGAGGCATCACAAGCGGAGAAAGACGCGCTACTTACTGTGGTGCGGGGTATCAAGGCGGAGAGTTATTATTTCCCTGGAGAAGGAATGGAAGGGGTGATTTTAGGGGTGTGGGGGGGAGGGAAAGTGTCTTTCCTGAGCCTGTGAATTTACAGCATGAGCAGTTGCACATGACTGGACGTGATGAGGTATGAGATTTGAACCTGCCAGCCTTCGTCAATCTCAAACAACATGAAACCACAATCAGTAGCGATAAGACAATGGTCGAATTGACAAGAACGGCAGATAGGTATAATCTAGAAAGCATATAGACAAGTTCAGAACGCCAGCCCCTCAGCACCGCTGGAAACATGGAAACTCATATCAGACCCAGCAAAAGTGATAGTATAAAACCCCCGAATGGTTGAGAAAATCGAACAAAGCAAAACCCCATGATCGTCAATTCATACAATATCCACGCTCTTCACAAATAGCCTTTTTGGTTTTCTTTTGCATTGGCAAAATGGTATCGTATCGTCCTCCTCGAAGCGAGATCCGGAAGTCCTCCGAAAAAGTCGTGCAGAGAAAGATGGGGACTAGTAAAGCGACGACCCATTCTCCGAATCTGCAGATTTCACAAAAAATTAGCTTCGACCTTTTTTCCCAGTTTACCATCTGTGTTTCTGGGAGGGGAGAAAAAGGCAAGAAAAACATACATCCTGACTCCACATCCCGGACGACCGGCGCCGCAGGGCCCTTCCCACCACCACCGCCACCACCGCCACCGTACCCCATCATCGACTCGCGCTGAAAGAAGCCCAGATTCTTTAAGCGCACGGAGCGCATGTAGGATTCCTGCTCGCGGGAGAAGTTGTAGGGCCGCTCCTTCTCGGGCCCGCCGTAGGTCTTGAAGAGGGCGGCGCCCATCGCGACGAGCGCGAGGCAGGCGACGATGACGATGACGATGATGGCGGATCTACTGAGGGTGCCCATTTTGTTGGAGGGTTTGTGTGCTGATCGGATATGTACTTTGTGGTTTTTTTCGGGAGGGGAACAAAGTGACGGGAAATCGTTTGCGATACCCGGTTTCTGTGCTGGAGATTCTTCTCTGTGGTGTTGTACGGAGTTACCTAGTAGCGAGATATATAGTAGTGCAGGCGGACGGATTTGGGCACGGCCGTGCGATCGGGGAGGTTGGTGGTCCGAGTACAATGGAGACTAGAATTGGAACTAGTCTAGTGTGCCAGGTGGGTGTGGTTGTATTTATTTTTGGGGGGGGGGTGAGGAGGAAAGCGGGAGTGCGCGGGTTTATAATCGCATGCTTGAACGGGTTGCTTTTCTTGGTGGTGTGAGACAGATTCGATGTTGATGAGTCTGTACTGGGATGGGACTGAGTGAGGGGAAGAGAAGTAGGAGTCGGAGGAGAAGAAGTCCGACCGAGAGAGAGAGCGAAGAGTACAATATTTAATTGGGGAATCGGAGGGAAATCAAGCGCCGCTCAGCAAGCCAAAGCAAGCATCCAAGGACAAAGAGAGAGAGAGAGAAAAAAAAAACTCGACCACTACTGATTCGGACGCGTGAGGGGGCCCACTGTTATTTATAAATCAGATTGGAACAAGATGAATGAGAGGCAGAAATCGACAGAAGAGTAACATGGGTCAAGTTCATGGATGGTTGCCCACGCGGCCTGCTGGCTGTGTTCCAAGCTGGCTGACGGGCGTCTTTCATCGCCATTGGGTGAGCCTCAGCGCGGTCGGCGCGTCCCCACCGACTTGTGCGCATCGAGTCCTTGGGGTGCCTGCCTCTGGATACGCTGATTCATTTCTTCACTTGGTTATTGACCGGATAGGTAGATTGTTTACAGATTGAATGTGCTTCTATGCACAATCAACTTATTAGCCATAGTTCTGTTGCAATGAGTCCTTCCTCCTTCCTCCTCCTCATGCTATCTCGCATTCTCATCTTATCCACCCCCTCTTCCATTCCACTCCGCCCTTGCCGAAAGCTTGACCAAGCAACCAAGGGAGATGGCTTCATCATTGGCTGGAGATGATGTTGCTGCGGACTCCGGTGACTCCTCGGTCTAGAATTGTCCACTTCATCCCATACCACCAGACTGACAGCCTACTGATGTTCTAACTTACTATCCAACTTCCTTCCACTCCCTTCTCATCTTAGTGTACTGTACTCTGTCATCAACCCGAGCACTTCGTATTCCAACAGCCGTATTCGGCTTTTCCCACCTGAAACAGCGTGGGGCCTTGAAACGGCAACGTTTCTGCCACCCATCGGGCCAACGACGTAATTTGTCCGCACGATCGACAGTATCGGCCCTCGCCCTAAACCCTTCCCATGCGACAATCACAATTCCCACGTCATACCTTTCGATACCTCTTCCCCCCTCAATAAACTCACCATCGCGAGTCTAGTCTATTCGACACTGGACTTAACAATCATGCTGCCTGCCTGCCTGCCTGCACCCCCCCCAGCCGGGTATAATTAGTCCAGTCCCTGGTGGGGATTGTCGGCGGTAGCGGCCCGGCCTGAGGCGGATACGCCGGGACTTCTCGCAGGAACAGACTTTTGCCCGCCCTGCTGGATTGCACGATATTTCTTGATTTTGGGGTGCATGAAGAGCACTGCGCTCCAGCTTGCTACCAAGCGAAGCTACATTATTGGATGCTGTATCATCGGGTTCTGCCTCCTGGGCGGAGCAAAATAGTCTGACGGAGGGCCATACTACTGCCCGCAACAGGATTCTTCTGCATCGCCCGACCTCCGAGTTGCCCCCAGTCATACTGACCGCACAATCACATGACAGTAAGCGGACGGAAGATTCCAGGACCCTCAGGCAGATCCTCCAGCCCCCTCCAGTCCCAAACCCGAATCAATAATATCTAAACCACCCAGGGGTCCAGATTCCGTGAAACCTGGATGATACGCAGCAAGCCCGTTCCGCCCGATGCATGCATGTGTGCTTGTGTTTGCGCTTCGATAAAGCTTATTGATGATTCGTCTCTGCTGGAGGGATCGGTCACGAATTACTGGCTTCGAGCGTATGTTCTCAATTCTCTGGGCATAAAATTGACCAAGATAAGTCAAGCTCGGTCGACTCAGATTTGTTGTAGCTATTGGCGGGCTGTGACACTGTAAGCACGTACACATTAAATGATGGCTTGGCATCTCAGTATAGAATATCTCAACTGCTCTCAGATCATGTCACTATGCTTGTCACGGTCCCCTAGTTAGCGAGATAGTCATCACCACTGCAGATTCCATTCAGCTCGCCTGAGCTGGGCATAGGAACGCAGCCTGCAATTCCGCTGGGTGGTGGTAGATTTCTTTGTTGGCCACAAAAGATAGCCAGCCTTCAAACGCCACGGACAACGTAGTCACCGTCGATCCTTACACATCGATAAATCTAGATCGACCTTAAGGTTAATAGAATGCAGAACCAGTCTTGAATTAGACTTACAAGGGCTTGGCCAATGAAAGGTCTATTTACGGCCATCCAATCTCTATGGCCTTCAGCGACAACCTGAAAATAAGAGGCACATTCACTCAAGATCGACCCTGAGGGGAGAGCGTGTCAACTGCGCTGCGGAGCTATGTTGTGAATACAGTCTATTGTAAGCTAGTTATGTGACCTGGTGTCTTCAGTACTGGGGCTACGAGAGCACCAGACTGTAAGATTTGTTAGTATTCCTCTATCTGATAATCTCATCAACGGCCGCCATTCGTGGTTCCGGGCTTATCCAACTTGTATATTTGACGTCAACCCGGGGATAATCTCCGAAGCTCTGATTCTCCATATTCTCCACTTGTCCTACACTCTCCACTATCTTGCTCATGGTCGCAGCGCTGTCTTGATCTTGGTTGTGTCAATCACTTTTGTTCAAGATGGAATACAGGTTCCCTTCCGGATGTAAGATGGATAATCAAATCGGAAGAGTAATAACAGTCAACCACCACGATTATACTATCGTTGATGTGTTGTCTGAAAGTCAAACATGGAGCTCCACGAACGGTGAGTGTCTACGAAGCTACGGTCTTTTACATTGCGCAAAAATACGCTTTTGAAAGTGCGCTACCAGTAAGTGATCATCCTTAAACATCCTCATCCGCATTCGCATCTAATCAGCGCCATCGCTCATCAGAACGAACGCCAAAGGGGTTAGTGCGAGCGACCTCGTATCAGAGGAGATCATGGCGCGGAGGTGCTTCGAATACGAATGTGAGGCTCTGCATGAATGCCAGGAAATCCTCTATTTTCCGACGTACTACGGTCGCGCCGAGCTTCCTGGTGACGAGAATCCGGTCAAAGCTGGTGGGCATGTGTGGATGATTGCCATGAGTGTCGCTGGCGGTACCAGCGTGGTGGGAATGCCCACTCTCGAGTATCTCGAGAGCCAAATCATCCGCGATCAGGTGGTCGATGCGCTGGAGTAAGTCGGTCTTTCCTAGGATTGATAGCAGCTTTGTGTGAAAGTATGCTGACCAGGAAACCATGTACGAATAGACACATGCGTCTGAAGGGATGCATGTTCTTTATGCAGGAGACTGAGCAGATCTTTTATGACCCTGCGACTGTCCTTGCGAGTGAGTAGCCGGGCAATTCTAGCCATTGGCCGATCGAGGGGCCATTTCGTGCGGCGGCCCTTGCGATGGAGGCTTGCAGACGTGTTTTGTTGGCTGCGGAGGAGACCAGAGCAGTTTCGGCTTGCGACATGTTTTCGAGCAGACTGCGGAGGACGGTGGTATGGTCAATGGAGGTACTGCTGGTGGTGGTGCTGCTGCTGCTATATGCCTTTTTCGGATCGGATCTCGAGCCGATGCCGACACTCTTTCCGCTCTTTTTGACCTTCTCCTCCTGATTGCCTCGATCAAGTTCTCTAATGGTATAGCTCACCCTGATGCAAAGGACTATCTTGTACTTTCTCTTGTCTCATACACCCCGTCTTTCCGCACATGCTTCAAGAATACCCACTCGACTCCACCGTGGCTTGTATTCATCGTCGCCGAATCTGTTCGATAGGTAGTCTTGCTTCATGTGTGAGTCTTGCAACCACCTTTGCGAGTACCCCGAAACCAACGATCATGCGGCGATTAGTCGACGGTGAGCTATGTGGATCGCTTGGAATGGCAACATCACTGACTCTGGCTTAGCTATGCAACATCCCTGGAGGAACGGTGCCAGCACATGGATAATTTGTGCATTCGCTTGAGGGTATAGCCCAAACACTTTCCCAGTACATCACTCAGGCGCAGGCAGTCAACCAATCATGCAATGCTTGCGGCCGGATCGAGCAAAGTCCGACGGTCGAATCTTCGCCGGTTGCTACGGCTATTTCTACCGATCACGTCTCAGGAAAGACAAGATATAATGCAGGAGTCGAGCCATCAGTTGTATCACCTGATGCTTCGCATCCAACCAGCCCTCCCCCTTCATACCGAGCCAGTGCAGATCTAGTGGGCCATATGGTGGCCGACTCATACGGCCGCTTCAGGTACAAACCATGCTGAATATGCCTCGACCTGCTGCTGACTGACCTTGCAGGTATGTTGGTGGAGTAGCCAACAACATGGTGATCGAGGCAGTTCAAAGCCTGTCTCCAGCAAGTAATCAAACATCTTGTGAACAGAACAACTCTATCAGAAGGTCAGAGGTGGAACTGCCATTCTTCACGCGCGATAAGACGTGGCCCGACCTGCCGTATATTCCCAGGCGAGAGAGATGACCCAGTCTCCCCGATACATCTCAGACTTACTGATCGACATCTACTTTGAGAGGTTGCATTACTCCTTTCCTATCTTATACCAACCAGATTTCATGATTCAGTACCATAATCTTCAAGATACAAAGGATTTGACGGGCCTTGACAGAGGCTTTCTTACCGTCTACTTTGCAGTCTGTGCTTGTGCTTCTGGCTTACTCCCTCAAGCACCTAGTACATCTACCTGGCGGGCGTAAAGTTTTATCAGAAGGCTCTACTCATATTCTTCACTTCGAGTGGTAAAATCTTCATTAAGCAAGTTCAGCGTCTTGGCTTGCTTGCATTATACTGTGCAGGCTGGAATGTTCTTTCGCAAGGGTGGCGATTGGCTGGGCAGGCAGTTCGCATCACACAAAATCTTAGTCTGCATCTCTCCAGTCTGGTAGGCATGCTTCATTAGATTTAGCCGAGTCATTCACTAATTATAAGCAGAGGGAACCTTAAAAAAAACACCAAGCTTGTCGGAGTTAAAGAAAGCGCAGATTGCTCGCTGTATTTGGTAGAGTATATTCAAGATCAACTAGTCGGTACACGTATAAAGGCTTTCCGACCACGGTGCTGATTAATAGCTTTAGTTTGACTTCAATATATCTAGGACGGCCAATGGCCGCATATATTACCCATATTTACTGTAAACTGCCGCTGGATATCAGCAATGAGGATCTGGATCAAGGCTATGATTATGGCAACAAGACTCAGCGTTCACATTCATCGATGATGGGCTTTATTGCACTGATCCGGCTGTGCAAGGTAGCCGCCAATATACATCACTTCCATCTGTCCAATAGAATGGGTCGCGGAGACTCGTCGAGTCGAAACTGGACTACCTTAGTCACCAATATCAACATTTTTACACAGCAGCTTAATAATTGGGTCCAAGAACTCCCAAACAAGATTCAATTCTCACCAACAAGAGCTCAAGCGGGCTGAACTTGACTATAAGTACCACAGCATTCCTTTTACACTCGGCTATTCTCATGAACTTATACCAGTAAGGCGATTTCATTTTCACATATTGCACATTTTAACCGAGTTATAGGCCGCTGCTGGGTTGCAAATACCCGGAATCACATTCACTTCTTCGCAATCCATATTCCAAATGCCTTAGAGCTGCACAAAGCTGTATCCAGGCAGCTGAACTAATCCATGATTACATACCACCGTCGTACCATCTAGCCTTCTGTGTCCAATATCTAACTATATCTGGGATATTTGTGTATGGCATCCTACTTTCGCATACAACTTCGTCCACTGACGAGATACAGATTAAGAATAACCGAGTCCCTTGATTCAGGTAATTGGATCTCGCAGGGACATACGGCTCTTGCCCTTCTCACTAAGATTAAGCGAGTCTGGCCGGGTGCTAGTCGCAGCCGTTTAATCCTAAAGCAACTGCTCTAGGACCCAGATAAGTTTAACGGCACGAGTCAATCTACGCCATTGTCTATATTTAACGGCTTCTTATGGGAGGACTTCCCGGGAGCAGATATGATCGACGACTTTCTGCGGAATGAGCTGTGAGGTTACTTCGTCTATCGCGACTCAATATGCATGATACAGTACAAACAGGATATTGGACCGATCTTACTCCGTTTCCACCTCAACCACCAATTTCTCCCCACTGATCTTCCCCTGCCTCATAATCTCGAATCCCTGCTCTGCCAGCCCCTTCAAGCCCCCCTCAACAATCCTTACGGGATGGGGCCTGATCCTACCATCCTGCAAGAATGGCCAGAGCTTCGTCATCCACTCCACGGCAAAGTCATAATCCTCCTTCCGGGCCGGGATCCGATGTCCTCCCAACTCCAGCTCCTCCCCCATCGCCGTATACGCCACAGTGATCCGCGACCGCACATTCTCTCTCGGGATGACGGTATCGGTCAATATCGTCGCAAACTCCCCGCCCTCGCTCGACAGCGCCCGGTCACAGAACACCACCGTCTCCTCCCCGCCAATCGTATCCATAACCAGCCCCAGCCGGTTCCCGGTCTTCTCATTGATGAGCGCCGCAGCATTGGGATCCCGATAGTCGAAGACCTCGTCCGCGCCGTACGACCGCACCAGCTCGAAATTGCGCGGCGAACAGGTCGTGAAGACCCGGTAGCCGGAGAGCTTGGCGAACTGGATGGCCATGGTGCCCATCGCGGACGAGCCGCCGTAGATCAGGATGGGGAGGGGCTCGGCGAGGGGAGCGTCCGGTGGGGCGAGGTTGAGGGTCTGGTAGAGCGACTGGCCGATGGTCGTGAGGGCGATCCCGAAGGTGGCGGCTTCCGCGAAGGACAGATGCGCGGGGATGGGGAGTTGAAGCGCCGCGACGGCGGGCGTGGCGGTGGAAAAGGCCCCGTCCTCTGGATGGAGGGGGTTGCAGCCGGAGACGAAGCCGAAGATGCGGTCGCCGGGTTGGAAGTCGGTTGTCGTGTCGGGGTGGATGGCGAGGACGGTGCCGGCGTAGTCGCAGCCCAGGGGTAGGTTGAGCGGGGTGTTGGGGGAGGTGGCTTTCTTGAGGTCGGTGGGGTTAAGGGCTACGGCTTTGGGCTGGACGAGGAGGGTCCCGGGGCGGAGAGTGGGCGGGGGGATGGTGGTTAGGGTTGGAGTGTGCGGGGAGGTGAGGGTTATGGCGAGAGGCATGGTGATGGTCTTGGTTACGGTGGCTGTGATTGGAGTTAGAGTGGATCTGGGGTGAATCTGGGGACATACTGTGCTATACTGTACCTGCTGTTCTATATTTTAATATGGTACCAGGGTTGCGCAGCTGCTGACATATAGAGCACTACTGCTTATTAATTGATGGGATGCTGACGTTGTTGATGATTAATGCTATACAGCTTCTAGTTGAGCTAGTATGCTAGAGGCATAGCTGGCCAACCTAGTCTCTCATCGCGATCGGTTGTTGGAGAATCACGCTTGCTGCGCTACAGGGGACGGCAACTGACCAGCCAGCAATAACTTGCCATCCCAAAGGCAAAAGTATGACGAGTATTTATCCATAGTAGTAGCCAACATCAACCTGACACGTGAGTTTCAGGCAAAGTCCACTGAAACGCACGTGGTAAGGTTATAGAACAACAAAATACTGGCTTCAGGCCCAACAGATACTACTATCAATAACTGTGGTGATTCAGATTAAGCTAAGCTATTACTATGAAGACCCGGCGGCAAGTGCAACCACTTACCTATCTGCAACAGTCCAACAACCGCGACCCACGCTCCGCTGTCAACGCAGCCAAGATCCTGGACCCTGCGGTGGATGAACGACTAAAAATGCCCCTCGATCAGCCTCGCGCCATGTGGCACAGATAAACTTCTCCGGCCGTTTCATCGCACCGACGACCAATATGCAAGCAGTGCTAAGCGCCGGTCAGGCCCAGCGTCGGGGGCTCCGAGACGGCGGGCGGCGGGCGACTAGGGCTGAACGGGGATATAAGCCCTACAGCAACCTCGACAGCCCAGACACTGTCAGTACGAATAGATGAATGAGTGCCTGCAGACAGATCGCATCACCGATGCCATCGGCCAGCCCCTCCCGCCCAGTCCCCTGGACGGAGCACCTCATCTTCCTCCTGCTGCTCCTCCCGACCACGCTGAGCATCGTCCTCCTCCTCGCCGACAGCCTCCACTGGACGATCGCCGACGGATCCATCTACGGCCTCATCAACAGCTACCGCACCTCCGTGCAAACCGGCGTCCAAGCGCTCGCCACACTCCTCAGCACCGTGCAACTCCTCATCATCTGCCGACTAATCAACCAAGCAACGCGCATCCGGTTCGCCCACCACAGCCATCACCACCACGCATCCCCAACACACCTCACCACCCTCAGCTTCTGGGCCTCCCTCTCCACGCCCGCAGCGAACTGGACCCTCCCCCCACTCCTCCTCTGCCTAACCTTCCTCCTCGCCAACCTCTCCGCCGTACTCTCCGCCCTCTGGACCGGCGCCCTCACGCCCACCACCACCACCACAACCCACAGCTACCCCCTCAACATCCCCTCCTACCACAACACAAGCTTCATAATCGAATACCCCTCGCAGATCGACCGCACCGGGCCCACCGCCCGCACCCCGCAGGGGTACTTCACCTACTCCGTAGGACTAGGCCAACTAACCGCCCTGATCTCCTCAGCCAGCACGGCCTCTCCGCTCCTCGCCAACGCCAGCCGCGTGCATCCGAAACTCGACAACACAGGGTACAGCTACACGGGGCGGTCGTACGGGGTCGGCACGTCCGTGGGGCTCACCGATTCCGGGCTGCGGACAACCTACCCGCACGCCACGGGCTACACCTACGTCGAACCGGGGTACGTCGCGCACGTCGAGTGCGCCTACAACCGGTCCTCGGCGTTCCGGCTGGAGGAGCTGGGCGAGTACGCGCTGTACGCGGCCCGCGGCCCGTTGCCGGATAGTGTGAATGCCAGTCGGAGGGATGCGGGGGAGTATTCGGTGTATACGGGGTATAGTACCCGGACGATTGTGGCGGTGGGCGTGGCGGCGCAGCCGGTCAAGTACACCCGGGAAAGGTATGTGGCGGTGGCGGCGGGCGGGTATTATGCCGGGTTGAATGCGAGTCAGTGTGTTGTGGTGTTTGAGCCGGCGTGGTTTAGGGTCGAGGTGGCGGTTGCGGGGAAGGTGGTCAGGGTTGTGCCTGGTAGTGGGGTTGGGAATGATTCTTCTTCTTCTTCTTCTTCGGATGCAGATACTTCTGCTTCTGCGGCTGCGGCTGCTACCGCTGCTGCTGTCGGAACAGACAAGCGTGATGATGATGCAGGGATGGGGACGGCAGCCCAAGGGAACGAGACAGCAGCAGCAGCAGCAGCAGCAGCCGACATCGACCCCACCAACAAGACCATCCACGTCGCTATGCGCCAGCTCGAACTCATCTCCAACGATCTGACGAGCTTCTACCGCTCTACCCTGGGCGACGCCTTTAACACCAGTATCGCTGATTATCGCACTTCGGTGACTATGACTAGGACTACCCGCAATACTACCACCACCACCAATACGACTAACATAGCCAACACACCCACCAAAAACATGACCGAAGACGCCATCGCCCTCGCCGGAATCACGAACGTGTACGTCTCGCTGATCGACGACATCCTAGCCGGCTACGCGTCGGCGCAGCTGATGGTCGGCGGGTTCACGCAGCAGACGGCGGCGACGGTGACGGTCGAGGCGTTCCGCGTCGGGTCCCATCCGTACATCGTGTGCGTGTTCGTGACCTCGCTGGGCCTGCTGCTGGTCGTGGCGGCGGAGATGGTGCGCACGCGGCTGTGGCGCGGTCTGCCGCGGTGGGATTACATGGAGATGAAGATGGTGGTGGCGGCGGCGTCGAACGGGGGTCGCGGGATTGCGGAGCGCGCGGCGGAGAAGGGGTGGGGGGCGGACGCGGTGGGACGGATTCCCGTGCGGTTGGTGGGCGGGGATCGGGATCAGGTGGCTGGTGGGTGGCGGTTGGTGGTTGAGGATGGTGTGGATAAGGAGATGTTGTTGTTGGAGGGGAATGGAGAGGGGCGGTGGATCTAGTCTATATTGGTATAGTTGTGTTGAGATTTTGAAATTGTTAGAACTAGGCTTTGCTCTACTTTACTTCTTCCCCACCATCCCCCGCAACGCCTCCGTCTCTCCCTCCAACTTGCTCACGCGCATCCGTAGCTCGTCCCGCTCCCGCTTCACGGCCGCCAGCTCCGCCTCCAGCTCGTTCACCCGGTCCAGCTTGCGCTGTCGGTACCGCCGCGCCGCGAGCGTGTTCAGCTGCCGCTTGCTCACTTTGTTGGGCGGTTCTTTGGAGGTTGCCACCCGGGTGACGGTGAAGGATGGTTTGGTCGAGGAGTAGTCCGTCGTCACCGCGGGCATTGGTTGTGGCTGTGGCTGTGGCTGTGGGATTAAAGGTGGGGTTTGAATTTGCGGGTCTATTTTTCTGCAGTCAGTACCTCTTTTGGTTTACTCGAAGATGAGACCGGGAAGGGAACATACCAGGTAAGGACTGCACGCTTGGCGATTCGAAGAGGTAGGATTCACTGAGACTGTCCGGGGAACTGAGCAAGGAGTTTATCGCGGAGTCTGACACGGGGTCTGCGAGGTCGTTCAGGGTGTTGATGTCGAAGTCGAAGTCAAAGTCCAAGTGGTTTGTGGCAGTAGTGGTGGTAGTAAGATCGGGGTAGTAGCTTTGATCGAGTGGATCGGTCGCAAAGAAAGATGGGTCGAACTCAACGGGGGGAAAGGCCGTTGAAGGAGGCAAAAGAGAGAGGTCGAGGTAGGGATGGAGGTCGGAGTTATAGTAGTCGGGGTATTGATAAAAATGATTAAGCGGTTTGCCTGGCCTGGTAGGTGGCCGGGGTGAGCTGCCTGACGGCGTGCGTAGCGGTGGTTGCTGCGACTGCCATCCTTGTATACTTAGGACCCGGGTCGCGGACCCGGAAGACCGGAGGGAAAGAAGAAGAAGGGGTGTAGCTGGTTCGCCGAAGCGATGGGTTGGTGAGGAAGAGAGGAGAATGCGGGAGAGGGGAGGGGGGACTTTTATACCTTATCGGTCGGTGCCTGGGAATTATGGGCCGTTCAGGGAGGCGGGTTCCATTTTGGGAAGCGGGTGTGGGGCGGTGGGGTGGACTCTATCGGAGTTATTTTAGCTGGGTGTGAGGTATACGGCTGCTGGCGATTGCATCTGGCGAGGAATAATAGTGGTGATAGTATTGCCCTGCGGACATTATACAGTACTGGCTATGTCCTAAAATCCAGAGTGAGTAGAGATATATGCTATTGCTCATACATCAGAGAACACAGTAGTGTATCTGAAATCCCTATTGTTTTCGTTAGCAGTATCCAATCAACCATGGCACACCCTCCAAAACAACAAGTAACAAAAAGCAATCAGATGATGTCGGCCCTGGAACCTTGGAGAGGTTCTTCCTATACTATGTTCTCTCCAAGAGCCTCAGCAATGCGAAGCATGTCAGCTGTAGGGGGTTTCTTCATGGTGCTAGGATTGGTAGAAGTACAGTAAATAGACACACTTACTCGGGCACACTCATAATGCCTATCATTGATTATCATTGCCTAATGCCCCCCTACCATGGTTCACTACAATCGTATAACTGCACATCTAATAACTATGTCCTACTAGTGATCCATCATCATGAGTCGAAGTGATGGAGAATGAGACGCAATGAGGCCAGGATGATAACGCCCTCTAAAGCGCACCCGCCGAGCCGGAGAAGAAGGAATCCACCCCGGATGAGCCAGCATGAGTCATTCTTACTCATGCCTATTTGGGAGGGGTTGGCCCCACTCTTATCCAACAATAGCATAAGCCTTGCGGATTGACCATGCGGCGACCAAATCAGCTCATTATCACTCGAGGCTACATTGGCCAGACCGCTATCATCCCATATCTGGGACTAACCAGTTAGAGAAATGGCCAAGTCAATCATCCCCGCGTGCCAGCAAAACGCCTGGAACAACCGCCTACTTGCCCACCAATCTATGTCTCCTCGCCTCCAAAACAGCGGGTGCGGCTCGGTCGATGGCAGATCATTCAAAGTGTGACTGCCTACAAGGAAAGATTCATTTTGAGTTTCGCGATGCCAGAATTGTCAATCTCACATTAGTCGTTGTCTTTGTGTCGTACTGCACATAGTGCAGATAGTCAAGATGATGCCTTCGTAAGAAAAGCGGACCTGTTTCAACCGGAAAACATGCCATTAAGACACTATCTATTCTATCATAAATACCATTAACATTAGATCTGCTGTGAATTATCTTTAGCCTTCCACGAACACCTTATTTTCACTCTATATCCATATCTCACACAAATGCGACTCCCACCTCTTTTCTCCAATCTAATTCTTATTGAGCTTGGCCCTCAACCTCCCCCCAAACCAGTAGAAAATGTAAGGGATAAACACCATCCCCACCCCAATGAACGCCAACAGCCACGACGCCCACTGCAGCCCCAGACGATCGTACATCTGCGTGATGAACAGCGGGAACGCCGCACCGCCGCCGGAGCGCAGGAAGACCTTGGCCGCCAGCGCGGACGCCGCATACTTCTGGTAGCTGTCGATGATGTAGTTGTTGACCGCGTAGTAGCACAGCACCATGCCGAACCCGAACGCGATGCCGGAGGAGGCGGGCCCGACCCAGATGATGCCCTTGAAGGAGGTTGCGCCGAGGATGAACAGCGCGATGGGGATGAAGGGCGCGCCGATGAGGGCACCGATGAGTCGGTCCTCAGGGGTCGGGGCGCGGCGGCTGCAGATCTTGTGGAATTGCTTCTCGAGCAGCGGGGTGAAGATCAGGGAGAAGCCGGCGCCGATGAGGATGGGGATGAACATCAGGCCGATCTGGCCGTCGTTGTAGCCGTACAGCTTGCCGAAGATGACCGGGTAGGCGAAGAAGAAGGCGTACAGCATCGAGTAGATCAGCACGATGTACATGCACATCAGGTCGAGGACGGGCTCGGTCAGGATCATCGTGATCGGGCGGATCAGCGAGGTGCGCACGATCTCTTTGAGGGATGGCTTGTGCTGCTCCTGCTCCGTGATGATGTGCGGGTTGCCCGTCTCCGAGCGGAGGCGCGCCGCCCGCCGCTTGAGGATTACCGGCGCGTACGTCTCCGGGATCAGGCCCACGAGGATGCCCACGGCCCCTGCGAAGGCGAGGTTGGTCCAGAAGAAGAGATCCAGGCGGCCCGAGCCCACTGTGATCCAGCCGCAGACAATGGGTCCGATTACGGGGCCGCAGTACGGGGCCGCCGCGAAGAAGGCGATCGCCATGCCCCGTTCCTCGATGGACCAGATGTCGGCGATGGTGCCGCCCGCGAGTGAGAGGCCGGAGCTGGAGAAGACACCGCATAGGAAGCGGCATGCCAGCAGTCCGCCGATGTTGGGCGACAGGGCGCAAGGGATGTTGAAGATCGTGTACAGCACCAGGGAAATGATGTAAACCGGCCGGCGGCCGATTATCTCCGATAGGGGCGACCAGAGAAGGGGACCGACAGCGAAGCCGCAGACCATGATACTGCAGGTGAGGGTGGCTACTTCGAGAGAGACGTGATACTTGTCTTCGATGAGACCCAAGCCGCCCGTTACGATTGCGGAACCGTAGGCGACGCAGACCACGAGGAGGGAGGCGATCATGGTGACGTACCAGCGATAGGCACGGGACCAGTTGTAAGGGTTCTCGGGGTCGTTGATGGTGAAGGTGACAAAATCGGTCGGCTGATCATCGGCCTTTTCGAGGTCCGAGGAGGAGCTCGACGACGGTTGCCGGTCCTGTCGCGAGCGGATCTGCTCGAGTGTGCGTTTGGGAACGAGGCCGGTGCTAGTCTCGATGGTATATTCCTCGGGGAACACAGGGTCGGCAGGACGACCCACATCTGGATAGTTGTAGTCGACTGGTGGAGGACTTGGAGAGACTCCGCGGTTTGTTAGGGACTCTCGAGTTTCTGTGCGAAGAAGATGTGGCTGTTCTGATGCATTGCTCATAGCCCGTTGGGGCTCGGACATGGGTGGTGCCATGATTGTATAGAATGAGATGGCTTGCGTTTGGGTGGACTGTGCCCTTTAGAGTCTGTCTGTGTGCTATTGTACGAGATACAAGCACGGTAAGTAGAGGAAATGTGTTGATTTATATCGTTGGATGTTCGGTGAGGTCGGATTCGTATAGTTCAGGCACGTAGCAAAGCCGACGCATCGCCGATCCATCACCGAGACGCACCGAGCTTGAACCGTCCGACACTCTATCCGGTTCCTGGAGCCAACACACGCCATCTGGGTGACTCAGAGCCGGTTCACCCTTAGATCGTCCCTGTTTCGTGGCTTCGGCTTGCATCTTGCATCAGATTGACCCTGAGCCAGGGATTGCAGCTGAGATCTGCTCAGAGCAAATGATCCCAACCGCGTCGACCAGGCGCTGTGTCTGTGCGACGAGCTGATCTTCTTGACGAATCTTCATACGAATATAAAGACAGCAATGCTCGGGAAGCTGTAACTGGCGAAGATCGAATGCAAATCCCCCAGTTTGTCATGTCCTTGGGAGCATAGCTTCAGCTCGGAGATGTGTTGTCATCCAGCTCGTGTAAGCTGCAGAGATTTGTGATCACGAAAACTCTGCTCATGCAAGCTGCAACCAGCCAAGCCAGGACTACTAAGCTATGACGCAAGACCAGAGCCCACAGTTGCGCGATATGTTGTGGTAAATCCTTTCATGAAGTAAGTAGAGATGTCGATGAGAGTCTGGAATGGACGATGGGAAAAGATAAGGGCGTTAACTCGGCGATGGTTCGGTGCCGAGATCTTCCCGGACCACCCCCGAACAACAATATGATAACATAGACGCTGTCGAGCTTCAGGGAGAACGAGAAACACCGAAATACTTGAGCCCGACACAAATTTTCCTGAAACATGCGTCATTAAAATTTCTGCAGGGGCCGTCCTTTCTTTCCATCGAGTGGTTGAAAGTATGGACCGGTTGATTTGATTTGACCAAGCCCGTTCAATCCATACCGAAATTCCGATAAAACTTGATGCTATCCCTAAGCTATAGCATAACCATAGACAAACTCCCTCCCAAGACATCTTTTACTTTCCTTCCTCAGAAGTACCTTCATGACCCAAGAAGCGCCTTTCTAATCGCTAGCCCGATACTTAGCCCGGTACTCCTCCAACCGGCGCATATCCTCGCCGGCTCCCTTCTCCTGCATCAACCGGATCAGATCATCCAGGGTGACGATGCTCGTCGTGGGCACACCGTACTCCTTGCGGATCTGGCCCATGGCGCTCATGCGCGGCGCGTCGTCCTCCACGCCGCTGGCGTCCTTGGGGCCGGGCATCTTCTCCTGGCGGTCCAGCGCAACGGCGAAGCCGACCACTTTGCCGCCTTCCTGGGCGACCAGGTCCAGGGTCTCGCGCATCGCCGTGCCGGCGGTGATCACGTCGTCAATCACCAGCACGTTCTTGCCCTTTAGGCCGGCACCCACGATGCTGCCGCCCTCGCCGTGGTCCTTCTTCTCCTTGCGGTTGTAGCTGTAGGACACCTCGGCCCAGGCTTCGGGCTGCAGGCGGTGGAGCTCGAGCAGGGTGGCGCAGGCGAGCGGGATCCCTTTGTATGCGGGGCTGTTTGATGGAGGTGGATGTTAGAGATTGGGTTGAGGAGAAAAGACATGGCAACATGCGGCGAAGTGTTTTGTTTGGGTTAAGGGGCTGCGGTGTTCTCGACTCACCCGAAGATCACGTCGGGCTTGGGGATGGAAGGGTTCTCAGCGAGGAATGTGATGATGGTGTGGGCGTAGGCGGTTGAAAGGGCGGAGAGGAGCGAAGCAGTGTGGAAGGTACCGGCGTTGAAGAAGTATGGGGAATCTATTGGGATCCTGAATTAGCAACGGAAGGGTCACAGATAGTAGTTTCTCGGGGATGGGAAGCGTACGACGGCCCGACTTGAGGGTGAAAGTGCCGAAGGTCAGGACCTTGGCAGAGATGGAGGACTCCAAGAAGGAGGTCTTGTAAGCGGGGAGGGCCATGACGAGGTGAATTGGCGTGACTTGGGGATTTGCAGGGGCTGTTGGCGGGGAATATTTTCAATCTCCTGAAAGAAAAAGATTGAAACTATCTCCAGATGATGAGGTAAGCCATACCCCGCACTATTCCTGTTTAGACCACACGGAGGGGGTCCGTGTCCCGAGTTCAGATTTCTTATCTTATCGCTTATCGACTTGAATCGTCGACCAGAATCGACCATGATTATGAGGTATATGTACATTGAAGGAACCATTATCCAAACGCCTATCCCATTATCGTACAACTCACTCCAATTAGGCCAAGTTCTGCAAGTTAACCATCTCATAGTACCTTCCTCGCCGACGCAACAGTTCCTTATGCGTGCCCCACTCGACAACCTCTCCCTGTTCGAGGAAATAGATCATGTCCGCCCGCTGGATCGTGCTCAATCGATGAGCAACCGCGATCGTCGTGCGGCCCTTCGCTGCTGCATCCAAAGCCGCCTGGACAACCTTCTCCGACTCCGAGTCCAAGGCCGATGTGGCCTCGTCCAGCAGAAGAATGCGAGGGTTACGAATCAGCGCCCTAGCGATGGCAATCCGCTGCTTCTGCCCACCAGACAACATGCCGCCTTTACTGCCGACGAGCGTGTTAAATCCTTGTCTGGGGAGATGTTAGCTAACTGGGTCACCAAGTTGGGGCGAGACAACGTGCAAACTTGAGAATTGGGGGCAAGGGAACACATACGGTAACGACATGATAAAGTCGTAGATGTTCGCATCTCTGCACGCTTGGACCAATGTGTCCTCCGATACCGCTTCTTTGTGCGTACATCCCAGCAGGATATTCTCTCGGATCGTGCCCTGGAATAGAGCAGGCTCCTGACTGACCAGAGCCAGGTGGCTGCGGTAGGACTTTTTCTCGAGCGTCGCGATGTCCCGCCCGTCGACATACACTTCACCGAGCACCGGCTCGTAGAACCGCTCCAACAAGGAAATGATCGTGCTTTTCCCGCTGCCACTCGACCCTACCAGTGCAATATTCTGTCCTGGCTTGACCGTGAGGTTGACGTGCCGGAGCACAGGCTGCTCCAGCCGTGTAGGGTACCGGAAAGACACGTCCCGAAATTCCACCGACCCTTGCATGGAGGACACATGGATAGCTTTGCTCTCAGCATATTTATTGGTGGACCGATTGCTAAACAGCTTCTTGAACTCCGCGGCCGCATGCTTCGCTTTGCCCATATCCGGCGCGTTCGAAAAGATAGTCCCGGCCGCCTGAGCGCCGAAGATGACTTCGCTGAAGCACACGTAGAATTGGAAGAGTGTGTACTCTCCGTGCCCGAGGAGGGTCCCTCCATACCAGAAGCCCAGAGCCATGCACATAAACGGCAACGCTTGGGAGCTGGCATAGAGGGCGGAGGACTTGAAGATGGGGAGGATGTCCGCCTTCAGCTGGGCTTGTACTTGTTTCTCGTAGGAACTGACAACTTGCTTCTCCATCGTAAGAGAAGCAACGGTCCGGATGGCAGAGGCCGCCTCGCAGGCTGAGCTTGCAGACTGTTGATACGCCGCCTTCGCTCGGCGCTGGAATCGATCCAACATCCACACGCGAAGAAAGCCGCACATCAACAGGACCGGCACAGCTGAGATGCAGACCAAGGCAAGCTTCCAGCCCATGACCAGAGCCACGACAAGGGAAGCTGAAAGGTTGACAGTGACAATGAGCAGGGTACCGAGAGTGACGCCACTGATTCCAGCAAGCTGTTTAGTTTCGGCACCCAAGGTCGACGTCAGAGCGCCTGTGGTGTTCTCTTCCTTATCAAAGAATGAGATCTCCTTGTTCAGCATGACTCGGAATGCCTGGCTTCGGGCTCGAAAGATTAGTTTCTCGGAGCTGTACGCGAACAAGGTCCCTTGGGTGGCATAAATAACCAGTGTCACCAAGCCCATCATGAGGAACATCAAGCACCAGAAGTTCGCATCGTGGCGCAGCTTGTGGTATTCGAATGGTGGCAAGCTCAGCGTGTTGACTGCCTTGGCAAACAACACCGCCTGAGATGGCTGAATGCCTCCCGCCAGGGTCGATGCACAGAGACCCAGGATCATGATCGGCCACTCCGGTCGGTTGAACGAGGCAAGGAACTTGAACAACGCCCATAGCGACAGATTCTCCTTGTGTTTGGATGGTAAGGGTGGAATGAACATGGACATCCTGGTCCTACGTCTCTGCCTCGCCCCCGTCTTCAGCACAATATCGGAGGCGTCGTCACTAAAGTCGTCTTCGTCGTCCATTGGATATCCGCCCCCAATATAATCTTCATCAAGGAAGAACGTCATTGACTCGTGTCGCTTAGCGGCCTCCTTCTGCTTGATCTGCTGCGCCTGCACCATGTCATAGTACACGCCCTCCCGGCCCATGAGCTCAAAGTGCGTCCCTTGCTCCACAATGTGCCCATGAACCAGGACAACGATATTATGGGCCTCCTTGATCGTAGAGAGTCGGTGGGCGATGGCGATTGTTGTCCGCCCCCTCGAGGCATTGTCCAACGCCGCCTGAACAATCTCTTCCGACTTCGCGTCCAGCGCCGAAGTCGCTTCATCGAGCAACAAGATCTTCGGGTCGCTCACCACGGCCCTGGCGATCGCGATTCGCTGCTTCTGGCCTCCTGACAGTGAGAATCCACCAATATTAGTCTCGTACTTCTTTGGTAACGCCATGATGAAATCATGTGCGTTGGCCATCTTCGCAGCGTCGTGGATGCGTTTGGTGATGCTGGCTTCAGGCGCATTCTCGTACTCGGACCCAATCAGTCCGAATCGGATATTCTCATAGATGGTGGTCGCGAACAGTCTAGGCTCTTGTGAGACCAACGAGATCTGCTGGCGTACCCACCGCAAATTCAACGTATACAGATCGTGTCCATCGATCGAGATATGGCCGGCGACGGGGTTGTAGAACCGTTCCAGCAGACCAATGACCGTACTCTTGCCGGACCCTGACGGCCCCACAAACGCCGTGGTCTTTCCCGCAGGAATATAGACGCTGAGGTCATTCGTCACAACAACCTCCGGTCGCGAAGGATACACGTGTCGGACATTCTGCAGGACGATATTGCCCTTCACATGGCCGAGGATCTTGCCGCTCTCGGAGGAGGCATCCAACGGCGACGCCCGGTCAATCGTACTGTAGAGCTTGGACGCGGCCGCGACGGCATTCGACAGCGCCTGCACATTCGGGGCGACGTTGCCCAAGTTGTAGGACCCTAGCATGATCGACATGAGGATCGTGAGGACATCGCCAACCTTAACATGCTCCCGGGCATCGACGAGGAAGCGCGACCCCATCCAGAAGCCCATCCCATAGTTCAGGTACATGACGCCCAGCATCGCGCCGACCATGATGGCGAAGGTGATCTGGGATTTCCGGGCGGGTGCCTCGGACTCCTTCAGCTGCTCCTCGTACTTGGCGGCGAGCACATTCTGGGCGTCGAAGGCGACGACCGTCCGCACCGAGTCCAGGATGTCCTCGGCGAAGCTGCCGGAGCGGCCTTGACACTCCAGCGCGCGCTTGCTGTGGACCATCATGATGATTGACCCGCCGCCCATGATCAGGAGCAAGGCGATCAGCGTTGCGCTGCAGATCAGCGCCAGCTTCCAGTACTTGATGTAGGCGATGATGAACGCCGTGACGAAGGTCGACAGCCCGGTCAGCGCCAGGCCGACCTTCTCGGAGATCCCATCCTGGATCAGGTTGGTATCAGCGGTGATCCGCGTCGTGATCTCGCCGGCACCCAGACTGTCGAAGAACGCGATATTCTGGCGCAGGATCGCCCGCAGGTATTCCACGCGGATGCGCTGCACCACATGGTCGCCTGTGTAGATGAAGCCGACCGTGGCGATGTAGATGGTGATGAATTCGGCCGCGGCGAGGTAGATGAAGTAGACCACGTACTTGTTGAGCTCGTGGTGGAAGTGGTCGTATGTGATGCGCCCGGCCGCAATGTCTTGGAAGGTCGAGGTGAGGTTACCAAAGAGGACCTACTCCACCAGGTCAGTCTCATGCGTGAGCATTACAAGCAATAGCGTCGTGAACTGACGGTGAACAGCGGCAAAGCAGCGCCTCCGATTATCGAAGCGACCGAGCTCAGCAGCAGGAAGACAAGATCCCAACGGCTGGCATAGCGATAAATGCCAAAGAAGCCAGGCTTGGATACGGGGACCCGAATCTGCTGCTCGAGGATGCTCTTCTCGACCTCCGACAGGGCGATGACGGTGCTGTCTGTGGCAGGAGTCTGTTTGCGACCGTGGTCAGTGGGTTAATCTTGATCACAAGCAAGAGCTAAGGTATTCAGACCGTGGGTAATGACTCCAAGCAGATGTCTTCTTCTTTCCACTTCATCATGCAAATGGTTTGTTCTGGCGCAGTCTGTCCCTATCACCAAGCCGCCCAACAGCAGCATCTCACGGTCGGAACGGGAGAGCAAAGCGACCTAGATTCCTAGAGTGCCTTGATTGAGCCAAGACAGACAGTCGAAAGACAGTGAGGACAACGGGCCAGTGAAGGAGTGGTGGGAACAGAACTGAAACTGGCCATCACATGAATTGACACTGGGGACGTGACAGGACCCCTATAATCGAAACCTCCGAGGGCCAACTACCTGGACTTTTCTCGTACCACGGAAAGTGGGTTGATTGTGCCTATCGTCATTCATTGTGTGACCGGCTGGACCAATTTCTTAATTATTCTTCTGTCGACGAGTCCAATTGCAGATGGGACCGAAGGGCGCAAAGGCGACCAAAAGATGAGAGTCGGTGCCAGTTGTGTTGAACCAGTGTTTCACGTGGATGGGAAGAATGGAGAGAAGGAGACGATCAGGGCCCGAGGAAGCCAAATGGCCGTGGTCCAATTATTAGGGCTGGCATACAGGTCAACTCCAGTCAGCTCCAGTCAACCCCAGCCTTGCGGCTGAAACGCAACGGTGTCCGAACCAGATCGACAGATCGGATATTACAGCCTGTTTAAGAGATGGACGTAGACGGTCGGGGATCTCACGCTGGTCCGGGCTGAG